TTCTTAAATTCAAAACCTTGAAAGACGCCATTAAGGAACCAGGAGAATTTCTCATGAGCGATTTCTCCAAATTCGACCGTCCACCACTTCTGCATTTGGCTTTCCAAGCTTTGGATAAGTTTAGGAATGATTTGAGGCGATTCCCTATTGCTGGGTCTAGTGATGATGTGCAAAGACTGATAGATTTTGCTATTAGCATTAACGAGTCCCTGGGTGATAGCAAACTTGAAGAGCTCGACAAAAAGCTCCTGCATCATTTTGCAAGTGGTTCCAGGGCTGTTCTGAACCCTATGGCTGCAATGTTTGGTGGCATTGTAGGTCAAGAGGTTGTGAAAGCATGCTCAGGGAAATTCCATCCACTTTACCAGGTTATAATCTGTTTCCTTCATTATAATAACGTAAATCCCTTTTTTTATCTGCACTCTTCATGTAAACATTAATGTAATTTTCCTGGTTTTGCAGTTCTTCTATTTTGATTCTGTTGAATCTCTCCCTGTTGAACCATTGGAGCCAGCCGAGTTGAAGCCAGAGAATACTAGATATGATGCACAAATCAGTGTTTTTGGATCTAACCTTCAAAAGAAACTTGAGCAGGCGAAAATATTTATGGTTGGTTCTGGGGCGCTTGGATGTGAGTTCTTGAAAAACCTAGCGCTAATGGGCATTTCTTGCAATCAGAATGGAAAGCTGATAGTGACAGATGATGATGTTATTGAAAAAAGCAATCTCAGTCGCCAGTTTCTCTTCCGTGACTGGAACATTGGTCAGCCCAAGTCCACGGTTGCTGCTACTGCTGCTATGGCAATTAATCCTAAGCTTCATGTCGAGGCCCTTCAGAACAGAGCAAGTCCTGAGACTGAAAATGTGTTCAACGATGCCTTTTGGGAGAGCCTGGATGCTGTTGTCAATGCGTTGGACAATGTTACCGCAAGAATGTATATTGACTCCCGATGTGTATATTTCCAGAAGCCACTCTTGGAATCTGGGACTCTGGGTGCTAAATGTAACACACAGATGGTCATACCTCACCTAACAGAGAACTATGGCGCATCCAGAGATCCACCTGAAAAGCAGGCGCCGATGTGTACTGTACATTCATTTCCTCATAATATTGATCATTGCCTAACCTGGGCTAGGTCTGAGTTTGAGGGTTTGCTTGAGAAGACCCCCACTGAAGTAAATGCCTTCCTATCGAATCCTGGTGGATATGCAACTGTAGCAAGAACTGCTGGTGATGCACAGGCTAGGGATCAGCTTGAGCGCGTTATTGAATGTCTCGAGAGAGAGAAGTGTGAGACATTCCAAGATTGTATTACCTGGGCCCGGCTCAAGTAAGTTAGCACATCTCTTGAGCACCTTTAGCTTATTACGCATAGGGGGTGAAGCTGTGTACATCTGCTTGAATTTCATTATTGCAATATGCAAGAATATTCCAAAATTTAAATTTTGCAACTAAAGCATTTGCTTTTTGATTGTTGTTTGCATTTTGCAGCAACTGACATACACTTTGCATTTTGTTTGTATTGATTGTTCATCTTAGGTTTGAGGATTATTTCTCCAACCGTGTGAAGCAACTGACATACACTTTCCCTGAAGATGCGATGACCAGCTCTGGTGCTCCTTTCTGGTCTGCTCCAAAGCGTTTCCCACGACCACTGGAGTTCTTGACATCTGATCCAAGCCAGCTTAACTTTATTTTGGCTGCTGCAATTTTAAGGGCAGAGACATTTGGGATACCCATACCTGACTGGGTCAAAAACCCAGCAAAGATGGCTGAAGCTGTTGACAAGGTGATTGTTCCTGATTTCCAACCAAAACAGGGGGTTAAGATAGTTACAGATGAGAAGGCTACTAGTCTTTCGTCTGCATCTGTTGATGATGCTGCTGTCATTGAAGAGCTTATTGCAAAGTTAGAAGCAATTTCCAAAACACTGCAACCAGGATTCCAGATGAAACCAATCCAGTTTGAGAAGGTTAGTTTCAATTTTTTTCCCTGATAAGTTCGAGAGAGTAAATGTGATTTTGTTTTCCTTAGCTTTTCCTTTGTAGCCAACCATGCACCTCTAGGATGAACACCCTTGTGACCCTAAAGAGTTTCACAAATTGTGTTAGCTTTGAGAGTTGGTTTTCTAAGCCGCATTCATGTACGTGCAGGATGATGACACCAATTACCATATGGACGTGATAGCTGGTTTTGCTAACATGCGGGCAAGGAACTATAGCATTCCTGAAGTGGACAAGCTGAAGGCGAAGTTCATAGCTGGCAGGATCATCCCTGCCATTGCCACCTCAACTGCGATGGCTACTGGTCTTGTCTGCTTGGAACTGTACAAGGTACTCGGTGGTGGGCACAAGGTTGAAGACTACAGGAACACATTTGCAAACCTTGCAATCCCCCTCTTCTCTATGGCTGAGCCGGTCCCTCCCAAGACCATCAAGCACCAGGACATGGCCTGGACTGTTTGGGACCGCTGGACCATAACTGGCAACATCACGCTGAGGGAGCTTCTGGACTGGCTCAAGGAGAAGGGCCTGAATGCATACAGCATATCTTGCGGCACCTCGCTGCTGTACAACTCAATGTTCCCGAGGCACAAGGAGCGTCTAGACAAGAAGGTGGTCGATGTGGCGAGGGAGGTGGCAAAGGTGGAGGTGCCCCCATACCGGCGCCATCTTGACGTGGTGGTGGCTTGTGAGGACGATGATGACAACGACGTTGACATCCCACTGGTATCAATCTACTTCCGGTGAAGTAGGGGCTGTCACTCCGTTGACATGGCGTTGGATTTGGTCTTTTCAGAGAGACGATGTATAAGTTGCACCGGTGCCTGTAAACTAAGTGGGGGTTTAAGCCACATTACTGATTTTATTTTGCTACCATCTTGATAGAGCTCGTTCAGATGGGTGGTTTGTTACCATCCCCGAAACTTGATACGATACCATCATATTGATAATTGATGCATGATGATACCGTACGACTGAATTAGATATGGCATATGCCCTGTTTGCGACTCGTATGATGAACAGCAATTTAGTGTCTGTTTTCGTGAATCTGATCTTTTGATCGGTCGAACCTTGTGCACTTTTCGGTGGGTATGGCACCACCAAGTTACTTGTGAAATCTTTTGCTTCTCTGATGACCTGAATATCCATTTTGAGAAAACATTAGAAGCTCCAAGATAAAATAGTTTAGTGCTGATGTGCATCCATGATCCATTGTCTCTAGAGAGCAATATACAAAAAGATTGGAGCACATGCTTGGAATGTGCATTCAATATGAGAATGAGAATGCACGGCGTGGCCACATGGGTTCGTTACCTCTGAACGTGACCTTGTCCAGCTTGATTGTCGTCTGCATGTTGCGGAATTCGTTGGATCATGCAGCTGCTCCTCCTGCTCTTGCAATATACACTACCATATCATCTTCATCACAGCTACACCATAATGTAGCAAACGGCCCAATTTTAGCTGCCAATTATCTTGGAGTGCTTCTAATTTGCACCATGTACAGGACCAAAAAAAAGGAAAGAGAAAAAGACAGAGACTTGCAACATCAGAAAGAGTACATCACATCTGTAAGAGAAGGACCTAGTTGTAAATAGAAAAAAGTTAGGGGTGTTTTGCGAGAATCGAACTCATGACCTCTCGCACCCGAAGCGAGAATCATGCCACTAAGACCAAACACCCGCTGGTGATAGACGTTTTATCATCCCAGTATTTAAACGATTCTCACACAAATGGTGACATAGAAAATGTGCTAGTCCAGAAATAATTTCAGCATTTTGTTTTGATAGACTAGTGATTACGGAACGTGCAGAATTTAATTCTGCACATATACTGGGTATCATGGCCTGCCTTGCATGATTGAAGTAGCCTAACCTGCGTGCATGTTTCCATGATTCATGAAAGGTACGAATACCAACTAAATCTAGTTTTTCTATGAATATAAAGCTTTCTTCTATGTGTTTCCCCCCAAGTATTGGATGGTACAATCTGCAATCTTTCTTAGAAAAACCAAGTGGAAATTGTACACGAACGATCGAGTAGGTAATTGCTAGGACTAATGGAGTTAGCAGCTGTCTGAAAAGAAATTCAGAAGTTAACTGACCACTTCCATTTTCATCTCATCATCCTTTTGTCTTTTGGAGCATTTTGATCAGTAAAGGTCATATAAGTTGCAGATGAGGAGGCGAGGAGCCTGCCTGTTTCATATGCATTGAAGCTGTCACTGTCTCGATGTCTTGTGAAGATTTCTTTGTGCTTTCTTAAGTTGACTTACTCTCATTGACGATCGACTCAAACATAAACATGCCAATAGAAGCACAAGAAGTAGCTAATCACTAAACACAATAAGATGGTTAATCTGCCTCAGTCGCATCAAAGTAGGTGCCTTGTCAATCTCTGCTTTGATTTAATCAGCTGTATAAGGTGTGTGAGGTGTGCAATGCAACTTGTGAAGCTCTTCTCTACCACCTTTTGTTTTGTATCAACGAATATAACCTGTGGGAGGCAGGCTTGACCTACTAACGCACGCCTTGTGCAAATTTTGAGAAATGTTCAAGTGTGAAAGCTTCCACAAACTTTTGTTGGTGAGAATTATTCCACATAAGAAAGTAGTAAGAAGGATGCCCATCTTGAAAAGAAAAAAAACTTTGAATTAACAAAAACTTGAAGAGTTGGAACTGTTTGCTACAATATTTACCATACAACAACTGCAACGGCTACTTCTACTACGACAAGTACATCTTTTTGTCGATATATAATGGCTGGTTAGTAGGAAGCATGCCATATGTATGGCCAAGATATATAGAAAGACACCATCAGCTGCGAACTGCCGGATAATTAAAATATCCGACATAAACGCACTCAAGTAAACTTTTACTAAAGCAGAAGTAGTAAGTGCCCTAGCCCCACTCAGAAAGTTCATTTTCTGCACGCCATAAGGTTTAAAACAAAATCTGCCACTGCCATATATACCTGCATACACTAGACTAGTATAATACCTGGCAGGCAGGGGTAACTACAGAAGGGCAGACATTCGGCTCCGATTTCACAAAAGTAGACAACGATATTCCGCGTGTTTTGTTACCTTATCAAGACTCGTGGCGTGGAAAGCTTTACAGGTGAGGTTCTCGAAAATCCTAGCTGCCTGCAAGTTTTCTTTCTTTGCCACTGTCTCCAGATAACATTTCGATTATTCCTCAAGACTTAGCCACTGCTCGACTCTCCTCCTCTCTGGAAGCTCAAGACTTTGTGTGCTCCTCTGGCTTCTTTTTTTTTTTTTGAGAATTCTCTGGCTTCTCTCTTTCCAACTACATACCAGCCAAGAGATCCAGTAAGTTAGTTACTCCTAGTACGCGTAGAATGGATTGGATTCCTTTCTTTACAGGTATCTTTCCTTCCTTGGCTCTTCTTTCTTGTCCATTTCCTTTGTAACTACTGTACATTTTTGGTCCTTGCAGAACAGATTTATGATTGTGTCCGGTTCCCTGCTTCCTCACTTGATTCCACTCTTTGCAGCGTCCTGCTTTACTCTCTTGTTTCACTTATTTACCATTTCTTTCTGCCATTTCCTTTTGTTATTCTTAAGAGCAAGAATTCAATCTTTGAGGGGAGACGAGACGATGCTTCTTTACACGGTGATACCTTTCTTGAGGTGCTGTGGAATCATCAATCATGTTCATGTGTGCTTTCACAATCCAAAACATGATTTTAGCTTTCTGGCTAACTAGCCCCACCTCCACACACCTCACAGGTAAAATTTCGAATCATTTCCCCTCCTTGCAGTGTTCTTCCATAATCACCGCGCTTTTGTTACTTACCCTTGATATTTTGCTGAAGAGAGAAGAGGTTCCAACTCTTCCTAAAAATTCAGATTGGGACAGAAAATCAGAAATGGAGGCATGGACCATTAGAGTGGTCTACTTCATAGTGTTCTCCTTCTTTCTTGTCTCTGCGAGATTTGGGTCCTGTGCTCCCTGCAGTGAAGAAGGTGAGATGTTCTTTTGATTGCTAAAGATTGAATTGAAAGGAGGCCCAAGTGGATTTAGATTTCAACCTAAACATATTTAAGTTTTGTGCTTCAGGGAGAGCTCTCTTGAGATATAGCGAGAGCGAGCGAGACAAATCAACTGATTCTTTGTCAAATCGGGGAGAAGGGAAGGTGATTGGCAGAGTGCTCAACTTGTAAGTTATTATGCTTTCATCCAATCTTTCCTCTTCCACTAAACTGAAACCATATTTGGTATGAGGGAGTTTTCAGGGAGGATTTGAATCCAAATCCCCATGTCCGAACATGTATTTCATGAATATTTACAAAAAAAAAAGGAGATTTGGAGGGAGAGACATCCCTCCAAACTTTTTTAAGAAGAAATTGTGAGCGTGTTGAGGATTGAACACAGGATCACGAAGTAGAAACCGCATACCCCTTCCCACTGCACTATCAAGTGCATCTCACATAGTCACATTACATATTTACAAACTATTTTTCAAAGGGTAAACTTCTTGATGTCCTACTTACATCACATTTAGCAGTACACCAAGATTTATAGATCACTGCACTTCCTGTTAACAGTTATTCAAGATACTTTAGAAGTAATTTAGGTCAGTTGCATTGTACGTATAGGATGCTTTACAATGAATGACAGCCTTTCAGTGGAGCTTTAGTCTTTCTGCTGTACTATGTAACCTTAACCACCATGATGATCTTTGCAGATTACTCAAAGAGAAAATGTTTTCCAGTGAAACTCCATCCGAGTTGAAAGAGCTTGGCACAATTTCGGAGTCTGTAGCTGATGGTACTGGAGGATTTGAACATTGCAGAAAATGTTTAGCAAAGTGAGGGTTCTTTATTTTTGTGGCTATGAAACGTTTATAGTTTCTTGATTGGATAACTCTACGAGATTTTGCGTCATACTACAATGAGAAAAAAAAGAACGACTCGAAATTTTAAAACAGTTATTAAATTACTGGATTAATTAAAGGATAAGTCCACTTCAGTATTTCTCTAAAAGAAATAAACTATTTCAGCAGATAAACTAATTAAAGGATAATTGCCGAGGGAGAAGCCCCTGTGGTGGGCGGAGCTTGAGATCGCCTCCTCCGAAACCGCCTGAAATTCAGTTAAGGCCTCAAATTCAGTGTGAAAGCCTGAAACTGAAATTCAGTGTGTGTTTTCTTTTTTCTTGTATCATAGTAGGCAATTAGGAATACTCTGCAACATATTTTCATTTTTTTTTCTTTGCAGAAATGAGTTTGCAGGTTTGTAAAGGTGAGAAAAAAAAGGAAATAAATAGCATTTAACCCATATGTAATCTTGTCTTTGTGTTGTGTGTATTTGAAGTACTATATACTACCTCCATTATATGTATGACACTGGCTAGTATAAAATTGAACTAGCCAATATCTTGTAAAAAAAAACTAGAGGGAGTAACTTATTAGTACCAATAAGCATGTTAGTGAAGTTATTTAAGTAGATAATGACACAATGTAAACGTAATTTTGGATTATAATTTAGAGCATGCATACGACAATGTAAGGCATGGTTTTTATAATAAGATACCTATTGCTTGTGTTCTCTCATATATCAAGGCAACGAGAAAGTGAGCGTAACTCAACTGGTTATGTTGGAACCAACCACCTGGATTTAAATTCTAGATTTGACATGAGTATTTGCATTTACAACTAATTATTATTTCAGTGGTAGACGATGTATCCTAGCATTTAAGGCAACGCTACGAAGATCAACCGAAATACGAGCTTAGTAAGTTGTTGTTTTTGGATGGCTGCTTTTAATGAATAGATTGAATACGAAGTATATGCTGGATCATAAGCACTATACTCCTCCAAACTGCGACCTACTGTGTATTCTTTATTCTTCTCAATCAGTAGAGGATCTCTTGCATATGTTCTTTCTTTGCTCTTTTTCGGTGAGCTACTGGAACTCTTTGGGCATAATTTGGGACACTTCTTTGTCCTCTGATCATATGCTATTGCAGACTAAGTGCACTTTTCAGAATTGTTGCTTCATGGAAATTTTTCTATTGGGAGCTTGGAATATTTAGAAGCAAAGGAATGGCTATATTTTTTTAGAATAAGTCTCCTTCCCTAGTTTCTTAATGAAAGTGATAAAGATGTAGTAATTCTTAACTGGATTAGGATGTTGTAATCTTTTTTTATTTCTTTAATAAAGTTTATCTAACAACGGGGGGCCTTCCCCTGTTGTGTTTCTTTTAAAAAAAAGTTGTTGCCGTTCTATTGTGCTCACCAACTCATGCGGCTAGATATATATTTCTTAATTGTGTTTCTTTTCTTCTCATGTTTGTGGTAAACATTTCCCTTCAGTTTAATATAATGATACTCAAATCTTTTGCATATTGGCAAAAAAAAAAGTATCAAAGGCATTACCTCTATACCATATAAATCGTAGCAATTTTTCACATATTCTATCATGCATTTGTTGTTCTTTAAAAAAAGAAACTTGTGAAACTCCTGAATTGCATCAATCTCTGCATAAATTTAATTTTACCCCAAAAAAGGAAGTTGATAGTGTTATTCGTTGCTTGTGAAGGCATCCTTGAGTTTGAGTGAGTAGAGTCGTCTTCTTCGTCTCCCAATTCAGTTGAGATCCCCTTCCGATCATCCAATGGCCACCGCATCCTCTCCCGCTTCCGTCCAAGATTACCCCGACCTGCAAGAGGATGATGACGACGACTTCCAAGACGACGACGACCTCGATGACGAAGACGAGGAGGACGATGATGACCAAGAACCCTCCCCGTCCCCGTCCGACGAGGCTCGCCTCCAGTCCGTCCTGCGCCGCCTCACCGCGGAGGAGGTCCGGATCCGGGTGCACGATGTGGAGATCCGGGGCTGCTGCCGCACGCGCCGCGCCGCGGTGGAGGCGGCGGTCGGCTCGGACCTGCCGCGTGCCGCCACCGTCAGAGACCTCGTGCGCGCTGCAGCCGCCGCCGCCGATCGGATCCGTCGCCTCGGCGCCTTCGACACCGTGTCCATCACCCTCGACGCCGCGCCGCCAGGGATCCCCGGTAACGCTGCCGTCATCGTCCTTGTTGACGTCGCCGAGGCTCGTGGCCGCGCCGCCGGCGAACTCGGCATCTTCGCTAACAAAGGGGTATGCGCTTCCTACTGAAAATCTCTCCTTTCTAGTATAAAATTGAACATCCATGTTGACATGATTACTTACTTTGCTTGAGTTACTAAAAAGATTAGACCAAACAATCTTGCTTCGCATTAGGAACAAGAGTCAACCTAGCCAATTCCAACGAAAAGAAGTGTTCTTTTTTCACATGGAAATGAGGCAATGTTGTACCATAATTTTGATCTCAGCAGACAACAGGTGTTAATTTGTTATGCTGGTACCATGACTTTGATGATGGACATGAATAGGGAAAGTTTAAGCCCATCTCTTAGTTAATGAATGCGATTTGTTTCGAAAAAATTCAATGTGTCTATGTCGCTTTTTGGTGGAAACCACACAGCTCTCTTTAAGGACTACTAAAATGCGCATATGGTTATACTATTTGCTTCAATTACACTGCTTTGATTCCTTGGAGTATAAAGAACAACTCGTCCACTGCAGTTTCTTTGTTTTTTCTACTGCAATTTTACTAGTGAACCATGAATCAAGTTTCATAACCTACTTTGCTGGGAGTAGAATGCCATGATGGCTAATATCTGCTGCATGATTTCAATTGCTTTTCAAATCTTCTTGTGTCATCCATATAATTCCTTTTGAATTTATTGCAGACTAGATCATGTTCGGTTCAAGGTTCAGTGAAGTTGAAGAACCTATTTGGATATTGTGAGACATGGGATGCATCCGGTGATCTTGGATTAGATCAGACAGTGGAGCTAAGTACTGGAGTGGCAATACCAAGAATTGGAGCAATACCTACTCCACTGGTAGCTCGAATATCATTTCTCTCTGAGGACTGGTTGAAGTCCTCACTCAGAGAACACATGATGGGTGTTTCTGTTGGTTTGCTCTCCACCATGAACCATAACCTCGCTTACAATCTGTCATGGCGAACTATAACAGACCGAGCACTGATGTCATCCAATTCCATAAGGGGGCAGTTAGGGCATAGCCTTTTGTCCTCTATTAAATATGCATACAAGGTTGACCAGAGAGATTCAAGAATTCGACCGACGCGAGGATATGCTTATCTATTTTCTTCTCAAGTTGGAGGCCTTGCACCAGAGAGCAAAGATGCACGTTACATTAGACAGGTATATTGAACAACTTTATCTTTGTGTTCTATATCTGCCACTTCCTTGAAAGGGGAAATCACATGACTTGCTCCATAGTTTTTGCCTGTTAAAAGCAGTTTATTCTTCATGTGTGATATGAATCATGTCATTAAAGTACCAAAGACTTCTGGAATTAAATGTTTTGTTCAAGCATTCCAAATTCTTTTGTGGCATTTCCCTTTCTTTTTAGCCTCTGCACTACTTCGCCTTTGAATGGCACAACTTGGTATCCCTGTTTGTAATATCTAATGTGCTCGACATCTGATTTTTTTTTATATTAAACAACTGATCTGATTCAAGCCTAAATTACTAGAACTAGCAGGAATCATATTGTTCTTTTTTCACTGGCATCACTCATTTTATTCACATTATATCAGGAACTTGATCTTCGAGTGGCTTTACCGCTGGGTGTGTTGAATGGCGCCCTTAATGCTGGAGTGGCTGCTGGGATCATCCACCCATTGGCAAGGGGATCGACGGGCTCTATATCGCCACTTTCAGAGCAGTTCTACTTGGGTGGCAATAGGTCTCTTATGTGCCGCTTGGGTGGACCATCATCACTATTAGGTTTCAAGAAAAGAGGGCTGGGGACAGACTTGCAAAGCAGTACCCCAGAGAATTCTGAAAATGTTGCTTCCACTTCTCCTGAGCTAAGTGCACGGGGAGGTGACATTGCGGTCACAGCCTTTGCTGATCTGTCATTTGATATACCTCTGAAGCCGCTCAGGGAGCTGGGAATCCATGGCCATGCATTTGTCTCAGCTGGAAATCTTGCCAAACTAACAGAGCCTGATCTCAGGAAATTCCCTCTTGCTGAGTTTCTACAAACATTCAGGAGTTCTGCAGGATTTGGTGTAGTTGTGCCAACAAGATTATTTCGCATAGAGGTTTGTCTTTGACATCCCTCTAAAGTAACTGATGAAATTGAATTATTTTGTTACTGAATGAATTTTTTCCCCTCTTGCCCAGGTGAATTACTGCCACATCCTAAAACAGTTTGATTATGACCTCGGGAAGGCGGGGATACAGTTGAACTTTTCTTCGCCCTAATTTCTTTCTGCCACAAGATTAATAGCTGTACTTTCCTTTTCCCCTCACTATGACCCTCAGCTTTGGGTCTTTTTCTTCCTCCACAATTAATCTCTCCAGAAAAAAGGGCCCAGAAACTGTGGGTGATGAATTCTTGTCCTGGCCTATGATATGATATTGACACCTGTAAAGTTTACAATCAAAATGGAAATGAAAGTCGTGAGGAGCATCAGTTTGCAATGCTTTTCTCCATGCTAGTGGAAGTGACAGTCACATGATAATTCTGTTCAAGTATGATTGTCAATAGAACAGCTGTGGTGAAAAACATCGACTGTGCAAGCTACGACATATAGTATTGTACATTGTTGGAATTTTGTTAAAGACCCACATGTTCTAATGTGAGTCCCAACATGTAAGATTTTACACTGCAATTTCATCAAAGAAACACTATACAGTGCACCCTGTGAAGACCTCTTGTTTGGAATACATAATGGAAACGTGTTTAACTGTTTTCAACTATTCTGGAATCCTGGAACAATTCTATGCCCTATGCATGGCAAGAATACTGCTTTTCTCAGACAGAAGAGCATATGTAGAGGCATAAAAAGTATCATAGCTTATACTGAATTTGGTTCAGTGACTAATGCCGTGACCTCGTCGATCAAGCAGTTGGGGAGATTGGAGACATTCCGATTTCTAAGAGGATGGTGACATGTCTAATACATGTCAGGTGCTGAAGAAGAGCAGCAACGTTTTTCTGCAGGTGCAGGTAAGGCAACCAGCCACTATGTTTGACAAACCACCAAATTCAGTTATTCAGCTATTCAAAAGGTTGGTGAACTTGCCGGACTGATATGACAAATGTGTGTGCTCCTTTCTTTTTCTCTTATTATTCTCTTGTTTAGATTTCTCACATGCAGATGCATGCTGCATTGGAACAGCTGACATGTTTTATTTCCTCACCACTGCTTGTATCGCTCTAATTCTTGAACTAATCGGCACGCAGCAATCAGCTAGGTGGTAATTAGTTGGTTGAGTCATAGTACAAACTAAGAACGGAACGGCCTTGCAAATATATAAGCTCATTCTAGTACTGTTTCTGTTAGTCAACAAGGCCTAGCTAATTCCCAGTACAACTCCAGCTGATTTCTTATTGCTGTGATCATAATTAACTGATCTCCTCATACAGTGAAATGCTATTTATTATGGCAATTAAACTTGATCCTTTTCCTATCTTCCAATTGGTCTCCATGATGATTAGCATTCGTGTTCTCTGATTAGGAAAGTGAGTTAGTTAATCTTGCCTCGCAAATGGTGGTTAGTTAAGCTTTGAAATGGAATGATAAAGAAAAAGAAGGTGTTTAATGTAGATTTTGAAAAAGCTAGATCTCTTTTGCTTTGAAACCAGAGTCACCAGCTGGAAGAACTTGCATTGTACCAAATTGGAATAATAATGAGAAAAGGGCAAATAATATGCATTGCTAAGGTACTGATGTAACTGATCCATGGCTCTCCAATCTCTCTGTTCAGTAATCATCATGCCAGCTGATCTTTATTAGTTCCTTATTTTTGAAACGGTGATATATCAAACCTATGTTGTATGCTTATATGCTTCATGAAATTTTCAGAGAACAAGCATGCCACCAGGCAACAATTCAACAATGATATACCGGTTTTCTCTCTTTCTTTTGTATCAAAGAAAAACAGGTTAGCTGGTCAATAGGGAGAATTAATTAATGTTGTACAAAATGTACCTAAAAGATAAAGTGCTACTGGTTTAATTACATTCATACGTTCAAAAGTTTAGTTAAGATGTCTTCTGAGTAGTCCAATGATGGACCTCACCTCTACATTTAACATCTTCTGAAGTTGAGAGTACATGCACTTTAATTTAAGTGTCCATTAGACTCATCAGGGTTATCCGTATGCTAATACACACATACAGGGATTGAGGGATTGTAGTAATGCTTTCGTACTAATGGAAATCCCAATTGTACCTATTCTGCAAGATTCCTCCACTTCAATATTGCATCACTGGGAATTCTACTGAAAACACCTGTATCCCAAAAAGGATATATAAAAATGTAAAGGAACATATTTATAAAAACCTTTGGGTACATGATTATTTTTTAAAAAGAAACAATGAAGATTTTCACAAGCTTGGCTTGGCATATTACTCAACTGAAAAATAACACTAGTACACATCAGCAACAGCAATATACTCCATCAGAGTAACTGTACATGATGAGATATACTGACGTGTTATACATGTATTGATGTATATATGCATCCTGCAGGAAATACCAGCTGAACAATGGGGCCAGGAAGAGAGGAAAGCAAAAGGCTAGAAAAAGGCATTCAACTTTTTGCCAACCACCATGATCTTCCCTTTCTTCAGTCCATACATATGACTCATTCCTTAAATTATCTTTGCAACCTTTATGTTTTCATCGACTTTCTAAGAAATTCTAACTAATTCTTAAACCTTCATATATACTTGATCACTACCACGGAACCGGCTAAAATGTGTGATGCCCTATCAGGACCAGTTAAATAATACTCCCTCTGTTTCGAAATATTTGACGCCGTTGACTTTTTAGCACATGTTTGACCGTTCGTCTTATTCAAAAAATTTAAGTAATTATTAATTCTTTTCCTATCATTTGATTCATTTTTAAATATATTTTTATGTAGGCATATAATTTTACATATTTCATAAAATTTTTTGAATAAGACGAACGGTCAAACATGTGCTAAAAAGTCAACGGTGTCAAACATTTCGAAACGGAGGGAGTACCAAACACTGATAGGGGGGGGGGGGGTTTCTACCTTCATCCCGTCCTAATGACCCCCTCAATCCTCACTACTGGTAAAATTATACTTGGTTAAAAAAAAGATATATAGATGATCCTTACGAACCGATACTGATGAGGTGTCCTGGAGTAATACCCATTGGTATGTTAATGATATTAGAATTGAAACAAGCACACATACTTTACATGCTACACCCTCCGTCCTAAAATAATAATAAGTTTGATAGTTCAAATTTTGTTGTTGATGTAGCAACCTAGGATATATAAAAAGTAACTTTTGCTACTTAACTATTATATTATGCTAATATCCTCTTGCTCTATTATAATCCGAGCATATACCTCAACTATCTGGAGAAGGCAAATAAGTTTTTCTAGTCCTTCTTAATGCATGTGTCACCTTCTAAAAATTGTTTTATTTTAGGAGTAATATTTTTTAAAAAAATAAAAATTGGTACAATGTGTAGACAAAATAAATTACGTGAGTATATCAGGATGGGAGGACAATTGACACGTACATCCTCCTACATAGAAGTATTACTAAAAACTCGTGCGTTCACATAGACAAGCATAGAGACAAAATGGCATGTAGTGCAAGGAGCTAGTCAAAGACCCGGACCTCTTCATACTTCATCTGAATTTTGTCTCTTGGACTCTTTTCTCCATCTCTCATTTTCACACTGGGTCGATCCTTTTAGTCCACTGCTCTTACTATACTAGCTAAGAGACAAAAAGGAAATTAACAAGTTAGAAATCGATGAAAATTCTACAAGTAAGACTCAGAGAAACCTATCAAAGACTTTGGATGGAGTAAGTTCCAACCAATTCCAAACTGGAGTAGCTACTTCTTGGAAGATTGTCTGTCCCTGGATCTTAATTAGATATTTACCTGCTTCTCCTCCTCATGCATGAATCCACCTGCTGCCTTTAATTACCTAGCTAGCTACCTTAATTACTAGTACTAGAGTAGCTTGTTAGTAGTTACTTGTATATGAGCATGCATGCTTAGCTCAATCCCTTCCAAAAAGGCAGCAATATATATGCATCTGGACATATATATGGGGTGTAGCTAGGTAGATAGATAGAATTGAATGGTGACCTCAGCTCCAGCTTCAGCTTTTGGCTTCTCCTATAGCCTCTTTTGACATCATATCAGTGGCCGGCGATATCATGCAGATGCAGCCGCATCAGCAGCAACAAGACGACTCGTGTTCATCATCAAGCTAAGCTTGCTAAAGCTATAGAGAGTTGGCCGGCCGGTGATCCTTCCTTAATTTCCCTATCTAGCTTTGTCTCGATCGCTATATATGGGAAGTGCAGGCAAGGAGGAGGAGGAGGAGGACGGCGGCGGCGGTGCACCGGCGGCGGCGGCCAACAACTACGGGAGCTCGACGACGAGCAGTACTACGGAGGAGGAGGGATCCGGGGAGAGCAGGCGGCGCACGTCGTCGTCGTCGTCGGTGCGCCCCTACGTCCGCTCCAAGAACCCTCGCCTCCGTTGGACGCCGGAGCTCCACCTCTCCTTCGTCCGCGCCGTCGACAGGCTCGGTGGCCAAGATCGTAAGCCATCCTATTCCTACATATTTTTGCCTTGCCATATATATAGAAAGCTTAATTTCATCATCTTCGGTTCAGTCTGATATATATGATCCTCCCTATATATAAGCATATCTATTTAATTTACCCATTGATCTAGCTCGCGATATATATGATCCTGATGCTATATATAATTTCATTATTCACTTTTCTATCTATATGTAACTAATTAATATATGTATGCAGGCGCAACTCCTAAGCTCGTTCTTCAGCTGATGAATGTTAGAGGGCTTAGCATAGGCCATGTCAAGAGCCATCTCCAGGTACCTAACAAACTTGTTTCTTTCTTATTCTCAGTAGAAGTAGTATCTGTATTTCTCTTAATTTCCTAAAATTAATATAATCCATATGTTTTCCCTGTGTTCGATTTCAGATGTATAGGAGCAAGAAGATCGATGAGTCCGGCCAGGGTATGTCACATATACATATATGGACAGACCAAATAATTAATTCTTCATGAACAGATCGATTTTAGTTTATGTATAACTAATTAATACTAGATGCTATATATGTGCATATATACAGTGATAGGTGGTGAGTCATGGAGATCAGATGATCATCTGCAAATGCAAGGTGGTGGCCATGGGGGACAAGCGTACAACCTTGGCCATCTTTCCCTGCCTGCTCTCCATCATCGCTCTATCACTGCTGGCTCCGGTACCATCTTCCAGTCCAGGTAGTTGTTAGATCCATGCAACTCTTGCTCGCAAACAAATTCCATTCAATTTCAGACACCTTTAGTTAGTTTCTTGTCTGGCATGTAGCACACTCTGGGATGCATAATTGAAGTCTCTCGGTCTCTTCTGAACTCCTACAGTAGATAATTAATTATAACTTGTTCTGACTAATTATTGACGTCGATCACTAATAATGGACTATATATATTTACATATATAGGTTTGGCAATTCATGGTCCCCATGGAGATGTCATGGATCATACTGGCTCCCTGCAGGCCATCACCTGCTTGTTGGATCAAAACCCTATTACCCACCAGCAGCTGAAGCTGAAGCTCCTTTCCGCAGATCAAGTGCTAGGTATGTAGCTAGAGCTAATACCAGCAACCATCCAGATTTTGTCCAAGGCTCTTCTTCATCTCCAGATGATAATATCATGAACCATCAAAGACCAGTTCTGAAAGAGATGATCTGCAGTGAGGGTAGTAACCATCAAGAAGGCCCTCTTAATCTGGATCTCTCACTCGATATCTGTCCGCGGGGCGAGAAGAGGAAGAGAGAATGCAGCTGGAGGAAACAAGAGGAAGATCATGATCATGCTACTGTTGCTATTGGTGCTGATCAAGAAGCAGAGAGTTGTGCTACTGGGCTCTCTCTTTCTTTGTTCTGATCATGTCTCCCCTGTTGAAAGATGCACCATCACTAGTCCTACCAGTACTATATTGCTGTACTGGCCTGGTGATATATCACTAGCTAGCTATAGTAGCTAGATATCATATGTTATTGTGGATGATAAATCAAATTAGGGAAGAAAACTCATGCAGCAGGGACAAGTACTCTTCATCTCACCATATGACTACACTGTGGTGATATTTTGTGGTACTTGTCCTTTTATGCATGTATCTAGAGGAAGATAAATATTTATTATGCATTTCGGTTGTTCATTATCCTTCATATATTTTGATTAATTAATCTAGCTGATATCCCGATTAATCTATCTACTGATTCAGTAATTGTGGTTTATGTTACGTTTTCCCTAAGGAGTTTTTTTAGATAATGGAAATGTGTTACATCTCCGGCCTCTGCCCGTAGGCATACAGCCTTTCCCTAAGGAGTTGATGTCGTTTGTTACTAAGGCATGCAATTTTAATGTATGATTGATCTAGTACAAATTTTAAAGAGTAATACAGATCTACATATAGCTCTCCCAACTATCTGCTATTTTATTTTGGTTTAATTCTATTCAGCACCATACCTATAAGTCACCTTGATTATGTGTCATGGGACTAAGAGGAACAGGAACCTTAAGGGGAACGTCACTCGCGGTTCTTACTTGGACAGAGTCCTCCATCAATATAAGAGGACCTCAGCCCGATAGTTATAGATCAAGTTATCTTCCTAATTATATTAGGGCCCGTTTATTTTAGCATAAGATTATTGTAATCTAAATTATTGAGCCAGATTATTATAAGCTGGATTAACATAGAATAAGATGTTAGCTGCTTGTAATAATCTGAATTATAATAACTCTAAGCTGAATCAAACAGGGTCTTAGTCCTCATGCCCTTCTCGGCGCAGTGTTGATCAAGACTCCATCATGTCGTCGGGGATCCAGGAACAGCCCTTCTATTATATTGAGGTTTATTTTTTTCTAGAGAGAGAACATGCTATATATTGATATTTGAATACGATATAGGAATATCTTATTATGATCTTAGTACGTGCATCTGATTTTTTTTTTGCGAGGAGTGCATCTGAAATTAACTGTCTGACAGTTTATTGGTTCGGTATTGGATTGACTATTTTTTTTGCGGGGAAAAAAGTGTATTACTCATTCAAAACGTCCTCACAGACTAGCTATGAAATGAAATTACAACTTCAGACAGATCCCTATTCCCTTCCTTCAGAAGATTGACTAGCGAAACACAATCTGTTTCAATCAAGATAGGGCGCATAGTCCACTGCAGGGCCAAAATCAATCCCTCCATGCAAGCTCGGATTTCTGCCTCCAGGGCATTCTTGCAGCTATCCAGGGACTTACATGCTGCAAAAACTGTACTACCACTGTTGTCCCGTAGAATCATACTGATACCTCCCTTCCCACGATCAGCATCAAATGAGCCATCTACATTAAGTTTCATCCAGCCCAGCCTCGGCTTCTCCTAGTGCAAACGGGTCGATGCAGCAGGAGGACCATCTGGTCCTCTTCTTCTAATTGCACTTATAACAGATCTGCTAACAACAGTTTTACCTTTTTCCAGATCAGCGTGATTTGGAATAGAGTAGCAATATAACTTTCCAGGAATCTTTTGGAGACTTCCAACAGAGGAGGCGGCTTATTATGTGTGTGATTTCATTACACACATACCAGTTTCGCCAGAGAGTTAATAAAAACATCTCATGTTCTTCAGTTGGTATATATTCCAAACAATCAAACAGCCAGTAATTGCCGAATTGGAAATTCACCAAAACAAGCGACAAGTTACCTGACTGTACCATATCCGACAACAAGGCACTGGCTCGGGGACATTTGAAGAGAGCGTGTACAGAATTCTCCACCTCTCTATTGCAGATGATACAGATATCAGAGTTTACCAACTTCCTTTTCCTTTTGTTGTCCATGGTAGCTAAACAATTGGAGGCCACTTTCCAGGCAAAGATTTTAATCTTCTGTGGGAGCTTACACTTCCAAATTAAATCCCAGGATTTGCGGGAATGCAAAGCAAAGGAACTTGAGGATCCTTCAGTATTTGCCAGCCTACAGGCAAGATTATAAGCACTCCGGACTGAGAACCGCCCAGACTTGTCAGGGTGCCAAGCTAGAAAGTCTTCTTCCTGGCGGGGAGAAAGACAAATCGATAAGATTAACTCAGTGTCTATGTTCAGGAAGCACCTCCTGATCTGTGCAACATCCCAGGTACCATCTTGCCCTATTAAATCAGAGACCCATTTCAGTCTGCAATTTCCTCTCATCGTCACTGGTCTTCTCGAGTGATCCCGAGGAATCCAAGGGTCTCTCCACATGCGTATAGATTGACCATTACCGACCCTCCAAATTATCCCCTTCTTCAGTAACTCCAACCCATAGATGATAGCCCGCCAGGTCGGGGAGACATTGGAACTAAAAGTAGTATCAATCAGGGATCCATTGGGAAAATATTTAGCCTTCAACACCCTTGCACACAGACTATTAGGGAACTCTAACAGACGCCACGCCTGACGAGCGAGAAGAGCTTGATTAAACAATCTGTAATCCCTGAAGCCTAGCCCACCACAAAACTTTGGTTTTGTCAGGCACTCCCACACTCTCCAGTGAGTCTTTCTTCTACCATTCTCCGAGCCCTACCAAAAATTCCTGGTGAGCTTTGTTAGGTCGTCACACACAGAATCCGGGAGCTTAAATAAGCCCATTACATAGACCGGAATGGCCTGGATTACAGCCTTAACCAGAACTTCCTTCCCACCCGAAGAGAGAAATTTTTCACCCCATTGGATCAGCCGCTTCCAGATTTTACTTTGTAGGCTCTGCAATCTCCCCTTGTTCATTCTACCTTCCGGGGTGGGAAAACCAAGATATTTATCTTCAAAGTTGCTCTTTTCTAACTGGAGAATCTGTTTTATTACCTCAGTGATCTCGATGGGGGAAGCATCATCGCACAAAATTGAGCATTTAGCCGGGTTGATCAATTGGCCCGTTCCCTGCGCATAAGTGTTTACAACATCTTTCACCGTTGCTGCATGTGCCTGATTTGCTTTGAAGAACAGAAGGGTGTCATCGGCAAACAAAAGGTGTGATATGCCCGGCGCATTGCGACAGATACTAAGGGGGGGGGGGTCAGAGAACCTTGTTGGACCTTTTCCTTCAACAAAAGAGATAACCCATCTGCCACGAACAGGAAAAGAAAAGGCGACAGGGGGTCTCCCTGTCTTAATCCTCGAGAGGGAGCAAATGATCGTAGAAAAGTTCCATTGAATTTAACAGAATATCTCACCGTGGTTACGCAAGTCATTATCCAGTTAACCCAGCGGTGAGCGAAACCCAACCGATTCATTGCCATATCAAGGAAACGCCAATCCACCCTGTCATAAGCACACGCTGCCTTGTTAGCTTTCCTGTTTTTCTGAATATAGTGAAAACACTCAAAGGCTAGGAGCGCGTTATCTGTTATCATTCGGCCTCGGACAAAAGCACTCTGTTCCTCTGATACCAATTCATTGAGCATCGGTCTGAGCCTGTTAACCAGGCACTTGGAGACAACTTTGTAAAGAACATTGCATAAGCTAATTGGCCGAAAGTCCTTCAATTCCATAGGTTGCTCAATTTTTGGAATTAGAACTATAGTCGTATTATTGACTCCTTCTGGCATACATCCAGTCTGAAAGAACTTACTAACTGCACTGATGATGTCCTCTTTAATGATCCCCCAATTTCGTTGATAAAAGCGGGCAGGGAAACCGTCAGGACCCGGAGCTTTCAACGGTCCAATCTGGAACAAAGCCTGAGCGATCTCTTCATCCTTGAAGTCTGCACAGAGCAGGTCATTCATTTCAGCCGTTACCTTAGCTTGGAATAATCTGGTGACAGATTCAGGGTTCAAGGTCGGGTCTGCAGCAAACATCTCCTGGAAATAATCAGTTGCCATTGATTCCATTGCTGTTGTCGTACGGTGCACAGTACCCTGCAAATCTTTCAGTTTTGTGATTCTATTCTTTTTTGCTCTCCATACCGCCCTACTATGAAAAAATTTGGTATTCTTATCTCCTTCCTTGTGCCAATTCACTCTAGACCACTGAAGCCAAAGCATTTCCTCTTTGTATAACAGTTCATTCATTTGGTCAGTGGCAAAACGAATTTGGGAATTATCAGCATCTGAAGCAATCAAGTCCCCCAGCTTCTTCCTTGCCTTTGCAAGTTCTCTACCCACATTTTTCACCTTTGTTTTGCTCCAGGAACGCAAAGCCGCCATGACTTTTGCGAGAGACCGATTTATGTCCCCCAAGTCTGATTTCTCACCCGAACTGGACCAAGAATCTTTAATCACCTGTGCTGAGTCAGGCTCTCTTTCCCATAGGATCTCGTAGTGCAGACATTTCTGTCTAGGCTGGTTGTATTCCACTGAAACAAGCTTGAGAAGCACATGGCAATGGTCAGAACAAGGTGAGACAAGATGGACAATTTGAGCGGAGGGAAAGATGTCTCTCCAACCATTATTGGCAACAGCACGATCCAATCTAACCTTTACATTGTTCCATCCATCTCTCCTATTGTCATAAGTATGAGGCACACCTTGAAAACCAAGGTCGTGCAACTCACAATCCTGAAGAACATCCCGAAAGGCTTGCATTTGAGACTCATTCCTCTAGGTTCTTGAAAAGTGCTCGAATTGCCACATAGTCTCATTAAAATCTCCCATAACCAGCCATGGAAGGTTTGATGTTTGGCTGATATTTCTAAGCGCAGTCCATATCTGATGGCGATTTTCAACCCGAGGTTCACCATACACAAAAGTAACATGCCACAAGGGATCATCCGGAGACAAGCGCATATACACATCAATGAAATTCTTATTCAAAACTCTGACATCGACGGAAACAGATTCATGCCAAAACAACGCTAAACCACCACTCATCCCATCACTACTGACACCCACAAAACCTTTAAGACCCAATCTTCTACGCACACGACACACTTTTTCCACCTTTTGCCTAGTTTCACACAGGAAGAGCAAACGGGCATCGGCTTCCTTAACTAAGGAGCACATATCACGAACTGTCGCAGTGTTGCCCATACCACGACAGTTTCAGGCTAAACAAATCATTGCTCCTGGCGAGACCCAGCCATAGGTCTCGCCAGTTTACCAGTAGCCCCGAGACTGGTTGCTTCCATATCCACCGCTGTGTTCTCAGCCTTCTCATCCTTTTTGAAACGCTTCGAGGCTCGAGCAGGGGCCCCTGTCTTCCCCTGCCCCGATCCTCCCTGAGATTCACTCTGATCAAACTCCAACAGAGCCTGTTGCACTTTGCCCATTATCTTCAGTTGAGCATTATCAGACCCTTTCCTCTTGATTGGGCTGATAGTAGCCTCATTGGACACGTCCTCAGTAGACTCCTGTTGAGTGCCCAGGTTCCTAATGGCCGGGATCATCTCGAATGATGGAAGTGATGCTAACTCATCCCCAGCTGAAAACTTATTTGTTTGGTTCTTACGGGACAAAGTACTGTCAGACATATGCAGCGAGCCAGCCTTTTCAGCAAGTTGAGCATCAACTAACTCATCCCCTTCCTCTTCTCTTGAATCAAAACCATCGTAGGCATTGATTCTGGTTGGTGGGTCAGTGTAGAAGTAGTCTCCCTGTTTATTCCCCGCTGAAGAAGAGCTAGCACTACCTGCGCCTCTGAACACAAGCTTCCTCTGAACCCCGGCACTCTGATTTGCCTTAACCTTGCTGATTTTCCGTTCGAAAGCTTTAAGAAGAGAGCAGCGTAGATCAGCAGAGAACATGAGTGGTTGAGCCTCATTGGCTAATCTTTTCTCGCACTCTTTATCTGAGTGACCAATGAAACCACAAAAGAAGCAGAAGTGCGGCACCCTCTCATAACGAAGATTGAACCTTCTGATTTCCTCAACACCTTTGATCTTGATTTTGATTGCAATCTGTCTTTTCAGGGGACGATTAACCGGGAGATCAACACGAATGCGGAAGAAATCATGCTTGTTGCTGCCATCTTGCTGCACATCCTCTTCCCTGACCTTGCCGAGTTTACTCCCATACAGCTCACCTCTAGCTTTGTTCATCATTACTAAGGGCAGATCATATATCCTTACCCAAATTGGCACTGACTCCAAGGGGACCATCGATGGACTCAAAAGGCCATTGAAATCAGCTACAATCAGAGCATCTCCTCTGTGAATCCATGGGCCGCCTTGCAGAACAAACTTATGGTCTCCCTCAGCATTAAAGGTGACGATGAAAAGATTGTCCTTTAGAGATTTGTAACTCATCTCCGCTCTGAGTCGCCAAGCTCTACCCATGTCCTCAAATAAGGCCACCTGGTTGGGGAATTTGAGCAACTAGAATCTCGCTAGGATAGTCCATTGTCCTGCACGCTTGACTTCCTCCTTGTCAAGTTCCACTTCAATTGCATCTTCTTCTTCCTCCAAAACTGCACCCTCCATATGTGCTTCAGGACCCAAGTTGACGCCTGAACTAGATTGCAATACCACATCCACCGCTTGATCATCTGCCGGGGGTGCCGCCACCAGATCCTGCCCAGCTTTCACCAGAGCCCTGGAATCCTCTACCTCTTTGTTCCCTAGATCCAATACGGCGTCATCCTTCAGCTTCGGGCGGGTAACCATCGCATTGATGGTCCCTTTGTCGCCCCCACTGAGAGATTTCACCATGAGATGGATATTGAGAGAACACTGCCCAGGACCTAGATCAAAACCTGACAGGAGAATCTCCAGAGTTTGCAAAGGACGTATCGTTGTGGAAACCACATGTGTGTTTTTATAGGAGGAGCCAGAGTCTAGATTGGATTCATACACATACGTCTTTCCAAAGGACAAAACTGAGACGAAGTTACGTAGATGACCAAACCTGCCGGAACCGATTGTCTCATGAACATCCCAGAACTTGATAGCCAACAGAGAAATACCTAAGAACGTGGACCGCTTCCATAGTGGGACAGGTCTCACCCCACCAGATGAGAGAGGATTCTCAAACTGCTGAAGACCACCAGAGAGATTTCCATGATCTCCAGAGATGCGAACAGTAGAATCAAACGTCACAGGACCAAACTTTGCCGGTGGAACAAAGACGAACTCCATCCAAAGAACCCTCCCAAAGGAGAAGATGGCCGCCGCGCCCCAGTCGCCTGGGCGCCGCCAAAACCCTAGCATCCGTAAATTACGGATTTATAAAGTATGACCTAATGTACTTCATTATGCCATATTGGATTGACTATTTGACAATGCAATATATTTTAGTTTGCTTCTATTTTATCTTCGTATTTTCCCTGTACATCTCTGACTTCGATCTTCATGCAACTCATAAATTAATCATCTCTCTGAGGTTTTATGCGCCGCCTATCTATGGACCGGTAATTTCAGTTCAACTAAGTGTCTGGTTTAATTTGTTCAGTGCACGACCAGTTCTTCCCTTTAGTTCTATTCATTGAAAACGTTGCATTGGTTTTTGTCACATTGCTTCTAGGTGAAGACACAGCTAGTTAATGCTCTTTGTTCTTATGCCCAACATTCTGCTTGTTAGGCAGATTTGCTAATTTTTATCATTATGGATGATGTCAACATTCTGCTTAGAATTAATGCAAAGTAAAAATAATATATGTAAACTTACATATGTAAAATATTGCGAAATCCACTCTATATAATGTTCAAGATATAGAACTTCGAAAACTTATACACAAACTAGCAGGGTGACCCGCGCAATTGCGCGGCTAGCGTCCATATAAAATTATCTTCTTTTACATATGAGTTTTCTTATATTTTGTTAAATAGCTGTCTCATTATTTTGGGACTTCAAAAGGCCGAACAATTTTATAGGTTTTAAAAGCGATTTCAGTCGCTAACTCTTATTCGTTAGTCACCCCTTTATTTGATTATTCGATGTATCACGTTTTTTTTACATTTTATGACTTCTATTTCAGACAGTGTTGAGTTCCCTTCAAACTTCTAAAACTTCCGTCACATCAAATGTTTGGACACATGCATGGAGCATTAAATGTGGATGAAAAAAAAGTATTAAATGTTTGCGTGTGAGATAAGACAACGCCGTTAAAATCAGTGTTACAGATATCTTAACTCCATCTATATATAAATGCTGTATAGAATTAAATTATTAATTTCAACTAATTTCACATGTCAGGGTACTTAAAAGTAAAATTATTTTTATAATAATATAAATCTATTTTTTAAGTTTTTCTAACTAATACTTAATTAGCTATATGCTAATAAATTGCTTTGTTTTGCATGTGTGAAGAAAATAATATGTTGGATGTAGTACACATCTTTGATGTTTTGGATAATGACACGATCTTCAAAATATATATTTGACTATGTTTTTAAATTATAATATATATAATAAATAAATAATATATAATTTCTTACTTTTGTTTATCGTACTTAGTAAGACAAATCTTTATATATTAATCAACATATGTATCTTTGAAGGTATTGATTTAAATTTTGTGCTACAACCCAAAAATTTCATCTCAACAAATAGAAAAAGAAAAAGAAAGAGAAAGTGGAGGGGACGGTAGATACATATGTTGATTTTTCTCGTTTCAGCCGCCCATGCCCATCCCAATCCTCACAGCCAGTCTCTAGTTTCTTCTCCTCTCCTCTTCTCTCGTTTCTTCCTGTGCTGCCTCTTATCACCCTTCTCACCTCCTTCAATGGCCAGATCTGATCAGGTGAGGTCAAATCCGATGAGGAGAAGTAACTGAAAGGGAGAGGTGGAACCTGAGGGAAACTTCTCTCTCAGCATGGGGTCCATATTCCCCTCCTCACCGCTGCTCCTTTCTTCGGCATGGTCGGCGATGTCGTAGCCGCCGGATCCGGCTATCTCTATCGAGTCCAGTCGCTTTTTGGCGAGGCGCTGCCGCGACCGCCGCCGGATCGGGGTCGTCCATCGCCGTCGCGAGCGCCGTGTGGCTCTCACGTCGTTGGGGGCTGCCGAAGCCGAGCGGGGAAGCACGTGCGCGATCTCCGGTTAGTTGAAGAGGACGGGGGTGGCGCGGCCCTTGATGGCACGGCGGTGGCAAACGTGCAGAGCCAGATGCGCGAGTTCTTGCGCAGCTCTCAGATCTCCGACACCCACTTGCCCCAACTCCACATGCTGCTGCTAGATCCAACGGGCGGCGAGCTTCGTCGGTGGAGAGCTTTTGCGCCGACTGCTCGAGGTATATGATGGGAAAATTGTTAAATGCTAATCAAATACTTTTATATGAAAATTAAGGTCAGGTTTTCAAACGAATACTCACTATGTTGCCACAACTCTTTTAGTATTCGCCTTTAGCTGGTTTTCACCAAAAAATTTGGCCATAACAAAATCTGCTATTTTGGGTCTCATTTCAGCATCCAGCAAAATGTAAGGTGGAGGTGGTGCGGTGGTTGGGTCACGGATCGGCCAGGGTGGCGAGCCTGGGGGAATTGGCAGGCAGGCAAAGGTTGGTTGACGCTATTTTTCTTTTCTAATCATTTGCATGAATTATATGTTTGGATGCTTCATGTGCAATCGGTTGCAAAATTAGGTCTGTATATATAGAGGTGATAAAAAATCATAAATAAAATAACAGATCGCATAGTAATATATCTCAGTTTATTCACATACAATATTCAGCTATTATAATATAGTACATGTAATGATCTGTATTGACTATGAGCTATTCTTTCTAGCTAGTATCATTAACTGCAGGATATTCTACCGAGGTACTGCTAATTATGAACTATTCTCATGAGCTCTAAGCACTATCTGTATACTTAGAATTCATTTTCCTTGTTCTCTGAGGCCTTGTGTTGCATGCTATATTGTCTGGTTGAACACATGTTTTCTTACGTTTCTCAACAGAGCTTTCCTTGCCTATGCCATTGATGGTTTTCGCCTGTCTTTTTCCTGCCTTGATGGATTCTTGAACAACTGATTTGTTTATTTCATGGCTGTAGTTGTCATTTCTGATTTCTGCCTTTGTGGGTTTTGCATGAGCGCCTTTTGCATTTTTGCCTCGAACTTTTGCATCTACACATTTTATCATACTTGTTTCGTTGCTCTCCTCTTCTGAATCGTCTTCTATTATGTATGTCCTCCGTCTTATTTGTTTGCAACTGGGAGGTTTGTCCGACGAAGTGAGTTCATCTTCACTCATGATTTCCTGGTCACTATCCTCTAGCTCTTGCTTCACGGGTAGCAGTGAGATGGATCTGTTTTTTAATAAGAGGGCCCCTGCTGGTTTGTTCCTTCAAAGGCAATAAAGTATTTGTCATATGTGCTATATATTATAAATAAATGAATATTTGTATTATATGTTCAAATACCTGTTGATCTGTCTCTCTATCTTGTTTTAGTATGTTATCCACATCGTCGTCCATTAACTCCTGTAAAATCATAATGTGGAAACATTTCAGAAATAAAATTTTCAAGATTTTGTGTTGTAAAAAATCAGTAGTAGCCTGCTTTACCTCTTCAGCCTTATTAATGAGGTATTGCTTCTCAAGCATATAATCAGGCACAAATGTCCTTTTGACAACATAGTTTGGTGTGCCTTCAGTCAGATTTTGTTCACTGAGCTTGAACTTGAAGATGAGTTGTTTTCCACAGAGTTGTTGAATAATGTTAGGAATTTCGTCGTTTTTGCCATCTAGTAAATTGAGTAATGATGAGACAGGTGTCTCTAGCATGCTTTGTGCCACATCATCAAATATAGTACAGCTTGTAGATGTCGTGTGATCACTTATTTGGAGTCGTAGTCGGTACCTAATATGGAATTGTGGTTAATGCCAAAAAATTATTACGTAAGTACTACTATTTACAAAAAAAAGAAGTAATCTTACCTAGGCGTTGTATTTTCTGGATATTTATTGCAGTTCCTGCAATGGTATTTATCGTTTTTCTGAATAACTATTTTATTACAAAGATTGCACGACATGTACCACCATTGAATATTTTCTTGTACTCGATCAATCGTAACTTTTGATGTAAACACAAATTCCTGCAATTTATGAAATTTTTTAAGGATATATATAATTGCCAAGTATATTAAGATAAAATTTATGTAGGAATTACCTGACTTCCTGGGTTGCCATGCCGCATTTCTGTTATATCCTTGAGTGTTTTTCTGTTGTAGAACATTTGCTCCTCCCTTGTTCCTTGTGTGCTCTTATCTACTTCCATCATTTTTGGTATTGTTTCTTCGGAGAATTGTCTATGAGGCATAAATATTTGAATCAAAGAAGGATTTGTATTATGTTACTAAAAATCAGTATTAAAATAACATATACCTGTCAATAAGTGTCCATGTCTCACGTATGTGTAGATTTGTATATATTCTCGTGGCACTGCTTGACCTTAGAGATAAACCTATATAATCATGGTTATTAGTTAGTTTATATTATATAAATAAAAAGAACAATCTGATTTCCATAGTTTGTGTTATTACCTATATATTCTTGCACTGTTGTTGATGTAACAATGACAACTGTTTGGTTGCCAATTACATCTTCGCTAAAAAATCGAGCCAATTGCCCCCACAATGTTAATCTGATCTTATCCCCCCTGTAAATTTCAATTGGCATAAATATTATAGATTTTCAATGGCATGAAAATAGTTTGTAATGGTTAAAAAAATATTGGCCATAACAATATTTACCCTAATAGTAGAAGTTCAATCTCACGAATTTCTGCAAGTCGTGGGTTAGGGGTGTTTTTCCTTGTCATCCTTGTTTCAATTGGTTTCATTCGGGTTAGTAGTCCAATGACGTCTGCAACATTTGAAGGATTGAAAATCAACTAATAACAATATCATATGTTAAAATAAAGATAAAAAAGCAATAGATTTTACCTGATAAATGTTGGTCTTTATTTGCACGGTCTTGTAATGTGTCAATGCTAGCAAAATCAAAGTAATACTCAGGAAAACTTTCAGCTGTTTCTTTGACTTGTTTGACCTTTGTGTTGTACATGAAAGTGATTTTAAGGTCATTGCAAACTGGACGATATTTTTGGGATTCTTGAACTTTGAAGTTACCGAATACATAGACTGAGCTTTCATTGATTTGTGTTTTGTAGTTGTCTATCAGTTTCTTCCATATAGATGCATGAATTACATCTCCCTGTTGATAAAAAAAAAAATTACTCCCTTCATCTACTTTTGATATTCATATTTCATCTTGACACACAGACCAATGATAAGTGATTCTACTTATCATCCATTTAAACATGCTACTAGTCATTCCTCGTAAACAAGCGATTCATTAATATTTACATTTCTCGATGTCCATGCAACCAATCTTGTGTGGAAGAATGGAGAGTCATGCATTAAATCCGAGAAAGTCATTAAGATGATAGGTTGTTGGATTGAAATATGCCTATCAAAAATAGATTTTTTAGATTTAGAAATATGACTATCAAAAGTAGATGGAGGGAGTATTAATTATGGAAAATAAAAAAAACAGTTATTGTTTATGGAAGATAAACTTGATCGATTGTTTAGGTAAGTAAAAGAAATAAAACCTGTTCATCCATTAGGATCATATCAAGACTGAGTAATTCATCTGTTGCTGAATTGACCGAGTCCCATAATCTCATGACTTTTACTTTGATGTTCCATGTATGTCCTCTAGTTGTTAGTTCACTTAACTTCTTGTACACCATAACTTGCCTTCAGTCTGAAAAAGAAATTAAAATAGTGATATGTATATATATATGTTGCATGTGTAAATAATAAAGAAATTGTGTTTTTATTTCTAATAGTTACTGTTGGGTGAATATGCATGTTTAATCAATGTGTAAATATGTCGCATTGTACAAATATTAAATAGTAATAACTAATGAATGTTTTTAATCTTTAATGATATTTATTATTTGATTAATTTCTAATAATCTTCATTATAGGAGGGAAAGACGGGCCAAACATTAAAAAAAAATAAAGGTTGCCAGTGGAAGAAAACAAACTGTAGAAGGCAAATCCGGTGACTTGGAGCTGCTAAGGGGCTGTTTGGTTTCCAGGGACTTATTCCAAGTCCATGTCACATCGGATATTTGGACACTAATTTGGAGTATTAAACATACATTAATTACAAAACCTATTCCATAAGCTTGGACTAATTCGCGAGACGAATCTTTTGAGTCTAATTATGTCATGATTTTGACAATGTGATGCTACAGTAAACTTTTGATAATTATGGATTAATTAGGCTTAAAAAAATCGTCTCGCGGATTAGCTCTCATTTATGAAATTAGTTTTTTTATTAGTCTATGTTTAATACTCTAAATTAGCGTTCAAACATCTGATGTGACTTGGGCTAAAAAGTTTTAGCCCCATCTAAACACCCCCTAAGCAAATCCGGCGACTTTTGCTATCTCGCTGTTCTGATTGCCAGCAAATTTGATGATTTGGAGCTGCTAAGCAAATCCGGCGACTTCTGCTATCTCGCTGTTCTGATTGCCAGCAAATTTGATGATTGCCACTGGTTGCATGTTGTTTGCTATTGACTTGATTTGTTGTTGGCTGTGGGATGTGAATCCGATCGTCAAAGCAGTCGGTTTCGGTGACAGTCATAGCAGTCGGTTTCGGTGAATAATAGCAGTAGTTTGGAAAAGTTTTGGCTATAGGAATCTTTGCATGTCAATCCGTGTGCTACACTGTTTCAGTGAAAAGTAGTAGTATTTTTATGTCGTGCTATGAGTAGTACTCCCTCCCTCCGTATAAGCATATTTTCAAATCTGAAAATTCTATGAAAATTCTATTTTTGATAAGCATATTTCAATTTAACAATCTATCATCTTAATGACTTTCTCGGATTTAATGTATGACTCTCCATTCTTCTATACAAGATTGGCTACTTGAGCATCGTGAAATGTAAATATTAATGAATCGCATGTTTACGAAGAATGACTAGGAGCATGTTTAAATGGATGGTAAATAGAATTAATTATCATTGGTCTGTGTGCCAAGATGAAATAAGAGCTCCCAATTCCATAAAGGCTATAGAAAACCGTGTAATACACCTTTTCTACCTTTGGACTTTTAAATGGTTCTGACTTTTACCTTGTCCGACTTGTCCGATTTCTGCTATATACTCTGTAAAACTCTGATTAAATCTTTACCGTTAAAATCTAGATCTATTATTATCCAATCGTTAAAATCTTTTTCTTTTTTTTTCGATTAACTTGGGAATTTATTCCCCACATAGAACGTGGTGTCTCCTTTCAAGACTGTTTTAATAATATAATAGATAGATAGATTAAACTGCTTGGGGAAATACTAGTGATGTGATGGAGACGTGGTACGTACCTTGCTAGTTTTCACAAATATTCCGTACATATAAGTAGGTTTTAAATAGGGATTTACTTTGATGAGAGATGTGTTGCTGGTTTCTATCTCTTCGAGAGTGTGTTAGGGTGGAAGGTGAATTCACGGGTGCGAGACTGTGATGTTGCATATGCAGTGACGTGTGTGCTTGTGATCTGTCTGCCGTGATTATATTGATCCATTGAGACTCACGGTCAATCACACCTTGCCTATTTCCGTGCGTGCGACGCACTGTACGCACACCTTGTCTCCTCCTTTTGCTGCCCCTCCCCTCCTATTCTCTTTTTTATTTTTAAGCAATTATTTTTTATCAAGAAATCAACGGTTCGATGGGTTCAAAATAATTACTATAGTTCTAAATTTAATTTGTAAGCAAACGATCAGATCAAGAAAATCATCCGTCGATAAATAGAGCAGTTCTACGGTTCTACCCACTGTTGTATCAATATAAGCGATGCAAGCAACTTCCAGCTTGTTTGATCTCGCACCTTGCTGTGCTGGTCACTTTGATTCCACGTAGTAGTAGTAGTACAGCAAGGCTATCTTTGATTTCATATAAATTTCTTGAAGCTTTTGGAAAATAAATTAATTAATTTAGGCATTTGGGTTATCAGGTGGGTTTTAAGCGAGCGTGCCCTACCTATTCCTACTTATGTGCCTCCCTACTTTTACACGCTAATAAGTCTTAAGTTATACAATTAAAAACTCAGTTTTGAATATATTTTAAATCATAAAAAATATAATTTTAGGGGAACAATATTATAGTACATACTAAAAAAATATATTAAACTTCTTACAAACGTTTTCAAACTGTCACGTGATGTTCTACAAACACTTCTAGACGTCATGTGGCGCTCTAATTAAAAATAATCTAAACATTGATTTTTCTTCAAATTGGTGGACCAAATAATTTTAACTATTAGATCTTAAAAAAAATCTGGCTCCCCCACCTCCACCCCCACCGTATGTGACCATGCATGTACATGCTCCACCCTCCTACTCTCCTCTAGGATCCCATTGTCCTCTCCTATTTTCTAGCTAACACAAAAATATATAAAAAATAACAATAGCTAAATGATGATGATTCTCAAGTTACATGTACTTTTCTCAATTTATTTGATTTCTTGTGTTATTGATAATTAAATACATAATCCAAGAGATATATTGCCCATATTAACTATATAAAAGTTACGGCCTCATCTTTTCGCTTATGCTTATTAGCTAAAATTTAAATTTTTAACCTTAAATTTGGAGTTAATTTTGTGGTTTTCTATCTAAGTTTATTTTTCAATATTTGTTTTTTGATCGCTAAGAACATGTATATAAAAATTTTTCATAAATTATTTTTTGTTTGCAAATATGTTGTTTAACATGGGACCGTTAGATAATTTGGTTGTTTTGACTACAAATATTTGAGCAAAATAGCACTTTAAAAACAATGAATGAATTCAAATATGTGAGTCTAAAGTCCAGGTTCAATCACCACCAAGGAGCTTGGAACCATGATATATACTCTAAACCCGATGGAAGCGGAGCTACAAGACATTATTAGCCAGATAGACACCGACGACAGCGGTAGCATTGACTTCCACGAGTTTCTAGGCCTAATGGCATGCAAAAGGACAAGTATTGAGAGGAGGGGCAGAGGGAGATGTTCCGAGTCTTCGGCAAGGAGTAGAAAATGGCTTCATCTCTAACGCCAAGCTCAGTCACGTCATGTCCAATGTATCAGGAGAGGCTCACTAATGAGGAGGTCGACGAGATGATCCACGAGACCGATGGTAGCAAGCGTATCAACTACAAGGAGTTTGTATGTAAATTCATAGCAAAAAAAACAAGCAAATTGATTAAAATATACACTAAAAAATCATTAAAACTATAAAAATACAACAAGATTTCATGTAGAATATAAAATATCAAGAGTCCATATAAATAGCTAAAATTTGGAATAATAAAATAAGTATTAAAAGAAAACTCCAAACACAACACGATACACACTTTAAAATCCCTAAAAAGACAATTTAGAATAAAACAATAATTTGATTTGAATACATATTTGAAATTAGACTTAATCACTAAATTCGAAATACAGTAAATATTTTTTTAAGAACTTTTCTATCTCTATGCATAACGAATTGCATATATATGAAGCAATTGAAGATAGGGTTAGCAGGGTGGGAAAATATATTTATTATAGTTTGTTGATATTTCTTCAAAAAAAAAAGATGCAAGGAACACTCAATTAAAAATAGAAAACACCTTATTTTAATTTCAATTTATTTTGTTAGAACTATTTTCAAAACAAACTAATACACATGCCCGCGCGAATGCGCGGGCTATCTTCCTAATTACTCACTCCTTCCCAAATTGATCATCATATAATGAAATCCAAAATTTCTCAAATTGATAATTATATAACCGCATGGATACGGATTTTAATGGAATACAATAAATGTAGTAAGAGAAAATGTGTACATGCTAAGCGTGTAATTGACATGTTGTTTTAATCGATGCATGTATTGTGGGAGAATATGTACATGGTGTCTTGATTGATATGATTTAAATTATTCTTGGTCTTGGTGTATAAATATATACGATGATCAATTTAGGATGGAGGGAGTATATAAAAGGAGACAATAAGCCAAAGTGATAAATTAATGCAGTAGAGAGAGATTGGTGTTGAAGAGCGGATAGTTTACTCTATTTAATTTATTACTCTATTATATTATTGTGTATGTAGAGAATAGTAAATAGTTACCATGAAATTGGGGAGGAATTGAAGTTGAAGGACTCCATGTAGAGGGAGAAGAGATGGAGGAGAGAAACACGTGAGAATTATTATATCAGGAGTATCCATCAGCTACTACCGTCCAATAATCCAAGGTCAGCCACACCCTTAATACATACAGTATGTAAAATCTGAGTTTGTGGCCGCTCCGCTAGCAAGGCCTCATCCATGTGGATTCTGGAGAGCCCGCTGCTCCGGGACGCCGGCGCCGCCGTGCTCACCGGAGCCACCGCCCTCGCCGTGCTTCGTTTCTGGGAAGAGGTCGGCAACCGCGCCCTCTTGGACCAGGTCACCTCACCTCTTCTTCCTTCACCTACTCTCTTAACGGTTGCTCACTTCAGCTCTCTGTAGCATGATATGACTAGTGTGTTTAGATCCCTATTAGCTGCCGGCAAATTTCCATAAGCACACCATTAATTTGTTGGTTAATTGAGGTGTTTGTGTCAGATCCTGTGTTAGTCACATCACATATATACTGCAGCATGTCTTTCCGCAGCAATTATGCTGATTCTTGACTGGTATGTCGGGCTTGTCCATCTTCAGAAACTCTGCAGGAAACTCGTGCATATTACTGTTGGCTTAGTATACTTCCTTATGTGGCCTTTGTTCAGGTAAACCAGATCGATCGAGTTCCAGACCAACAATATACTAGCAGTATCTTTAATTTTGTCATGTCATAGCCATACCAAGTGTGTTTCTGCCTTCCTGACAACGTACTCTTCCTGATTGCAGTGCGGATGATGTCTATGCTCCATTTCTTGCTTCCCTTGTCATTGCATTCAACATCATAAAGGTTACCTTGATTGGACTTGGTATTGTCAAAGATGATGGCGTCATTAACTCCATGACCAGGAACGGAGACCGCAGGTACTCATCTCATTTCCCCCCTTTGACAAGCTAGTGGGCAAAGAAAGATTTGGCATTCTTACGCATTACTGCAATAAAAATAATAATAATCATAGTTGTGTTGCTTCTACCACTTGATTCAGTAATCCCTTTTTGTTTCCAGAGAGCTTCTTAAAGGTCCACTGTACTACGCTTGTGCTATAACACTCGCTACTGTAATTTTCTGGAGGACATCTCCCATTTCAATCGCAGTGATTTGCAACTTGTGTGCCGGAGATGGTACGGCCTTAGCTTCATCTAATCTCCTGCAGTTGAAAATTTTCTGCTGATACTGACACTGTTCTATCGATTTTGGACTGCTCCTTTCATTCACCGAGTGAAAAGTTTCAGACGTCAACTGACTTCTCTACACTGCTTCTTTCAGGTGTAGCTGACATAGCTGGAAGGCGATTCGGACATGTAAAGCTTCCTTACAACCCTGATAAGTCTTATGCTGGATCCATTGCAATGTTCTTAGCTGGTTTCCTTGCATCAATCCTGTAAGTAACAAGTTGGAGTATCTAATAGGCTACCCTACATTTCTATTGAAGTCTTGGTAGCTGTTAATCTGAAACTGCTGGAGTACTTGCTAGGTACATGTGCTACTTCCACCTCTTTGGATTTGTCGAGGAGAGCTGGAGCATGGTGATCGCCTTTGGTGTGACATCGCTTGCTGCTGCAATTGTGGAGTCACTCCCTATCAGCACACGCCTGGACGACAATCTGACTGTGCCACTCGCCTCTGTCCTCGTTGGTGTCCTTGTTTTCTATTATACTGGGGCCAGAAACCTGTGTTGTATGAGCGCTGACAGCAGTGACATTTCTGCACTTGTGCAGAATCAGATGGTCTTGGACAGGTTCTAGTGACTACTGACTAGTAAGTAGCTGCCCTGCAGAGCTGAAAAGAAACTGATTTACTAATATCAGATTTGATTAATGTAACAAGGATCGATACAAGCTACAAGCATCATAGTTGTATCTTGTAATCAAGAAAAACAAAAGCTATCTGATATACTAGTAAGGCAAAAGTTGAGTAGAGGAAAAACATACCAGAGAGCTGTCTACACTCCAAACTAAATGTCTATTCTGTATATATGGTGGTTGTGTGCAAGCTGCCAGCGCTTTTTGTTTTCCCTCGAAACATACTTCCATTCCATGGAGATTACAGGCCTGAATACATGCACAATGATTTTCTCTAGGTGCAGCAGAGGTGAACCTCCAGATTCCTCCAAAAACACCAAAAAGGAAAATCAGAACTTTTTCTAAGTGTGTTATTAGCTTATTAGTATTTCAGATTTTGCAGGTGCGTCCAGAAGAGGGTAATGATAAGCAAAGCTCCATCCTGTGAGCCTCATAACTCTCGTCCTGTCTTTGCTAGCTATCCAAATATCGCTATAACGCACTAGCTACCACTCATTTTTGTGCACAGGAAACAACCTGCCTAGCAAGCTAGCTTTCAAGCCACAAGCCGTACTTGTATCATGACAGGCAAATCAGAAGCCACAAATTAAGATGCATTGCTTTCTTCCTGGCACTGTCAGCATATGTAAATTTTGTCAGCTATTAGTAAATGCCACACTGCTGGCACACAGAGAAAAGAGCTTGTCTGCTAAATGAGTCTTGTCTGTTTTTGCAAACAAGGGATAAACATATAGAGACAGACAAATTGGAAGGAACAATTTGCAAGCCACATGTTCTGGTGACTTTCACTCACTCATCAAAGGCAAGGAGCTCTCCTCCTCCAATGTATCTATCTATCTCTAGCTCAAGATATCTGGCTTGCCATTCTCATAGCTTGCCAGTTTCTGATGAGCCAAGGGAGCTCTGTGCGTCGTCAGCTCTCCAGCCCGGGACAGTGATGAGGGCAAGGAGCCATGCTTGTCAGGTTAGGCGTCGTTGTTGTAGCCTCCGTCGCAGCTTTAACTCTTAAGAGAGCCAACAGTGGCAACAGAGGTACTATACTTGCTTCTCTCTTGCAGTGGCACTTCCTTCCTTAATTTGTTCCTCTGAATTTCTCACTGAAGCTCTTGTTGAACTTCAACAGATGGCCAAGCAAGGAAAGGAAAAGACAAAACTCGCTACTCTGAACATGTAAGTGCATGCCATTCTCTACTAGCTTAGAACTTGTGAGTTTAACTGTAACAGTTCTTCGCCCCTCCTCGATGCCGTTACTTCCTCTGGCTGGTCGCCCTCAACCGATGCTGGACGGCGGACCGCCTTCGAAGCCGAGGTCTGTCGCACCCGGATCGTTGCCCCCTCTGTGATCAATGCGACGAAACGATTGATCATCTCCTGGTCGCATGCCCGGAGTCTCGGCAGCTTTGGTGGATTGCTCTTACTGCTATCGGTCATTCTGAATGTCTGCCTCTCAATGAGCAGTCCTTTCATGTCTGGTTGTGTGACAGTCGCAAAAGGATGATTAAAGACCATCGCCGAGGGTTCGACACAATTGCGGCACTAGTAGCATGGATAATCTGGAAGGAAAGGAACAACCGGGTCTTCAACCAGAAGAGCAGACCTTGGATGGAGATAGCTAGGGCTATGATGGGGGAAGCGGACCTCTGGCGGATGGCTAGATCAGCCATACCAACCATGACAGTCCCTTCGCTTGTTCTTTGGTCGCCAAATCATTCGGGAGATTAGGCTTCTACTTTTCTCTTCCCCTCTTCTGTACCCTGTCCCTTTCTTTTTATTTTTCAGGCCCGTTCTGTGAATACATTTATTCCTCTTAATAAAAAATACGCGTCTCGCATATTCCCAAAAAAACTGTAACTGTTCTGAACACGTAAGTGAATGTCATTCTCTACTAGCTCAAAACTTGTGAGTTTAACTGTTCTTTTCAATTGCTGTGGTTCAGGGGGAGAAAGAAGAAGAGAAGGAAGAGGTTAAAACAATCAGCGGCATAATCAATTCAGCTCTTTCAGATGATGACGACATGCTCTCCGAGATCGAGAGCCTCCTATCAGGGGAGATTGACATCCCCCTACCAAGTGACAGGTTTGACGTCAAAGAACGCTCTTGGTACAACAGTGTTAACTCCGAGCTGGAGAGGCTGCGTGGACTTGTGCGTGAGCTGGAGGAGAGGGAAGTGAAGCTTGAGGGAGAGCTGCTGGAGTACTATGGCCTCAAGGAACAGGAGACTGATGTTGTAGAGCTACACAGACAGCTCAAGATCAAGATGGTGGAGATCGACATGCTCAAAATGACCATCAACTCGCTGCAAGAGGAGAGGAAGAAGCTTCAGGATGACGTCGCCCGTGGCACAGGAGCCAAGAGGGAGCTGGAGGCTGCGAGGAACAAGATCAAGGAGCTGCAGCGACAGATACAGATGGAGGCGAACCAGACGAAAGGGCAGCTGATGCTTCTAAAGAACCAGGTGATTGCGCTGAAGTCCAAGGAGGAGGAGGCAGCCATCAAGGACGCAGAGGTGCAGAGGAAGCTGAAGAAGCTCAAGGAGCTGGAAGTGGAGGTAGTTGAGCTGAGGAGGAAGAACAAGGAGCTCTTGTATGAGAAAAGGGATCTCATCGTTAAGCTGGATGCAGCACAAGGAAAAATAACAGAGGTATGATATTAGTATCATTTTCACTCAGCAATTATATGCTTCTAAAGCCTCACATTTGCATGGCATCATTTGCAGCAGCAGCAATTGTTTTTAATGTTGACATATTTTTTTTCATGATTTATGTGGCATGCAGACAGCTGGCTGCTGTCCTACATTTTTACCCCCTCTATCCTCATTTTCACATTAAGAAAAATAGGCACAAAATGATAGGATTTTTTTTTCTTTTTGTAGTTTCCCCTTGGGATTTCATCAATCAATTTCATGACAAGGACTCAGAATTTAGACTTATCTCTCACATTATCAACACTGAATTATTATCCATTGGACTAGGCTTGCACACACTAACATTGGTTTAACTGAAAAATCCCTTGCCTATTCAATAATGCATAGCTATATTGAGAGCTAAACTTATATTTCAAAACCACATCATAATTTCACAGTGCTTCTCTCAGAAAAGGAAGAATGAACTAGCAATAGATATTTATATTATGTTCATTTTCAGCGTATACAGATATATTAATAACGTAGCTTATCATTGTGCAGAGTGATGTAGTTTCCCATGCAAGAGAGGAGATCAACAAGCTGAGGCATGTAAATGAAGACCTTACCAAGCAAGTAGAAGGCCTACAAATGAACAGATTCAGTGAAGTAGAAGAGTTGGTTTACCTGCGTTGGGTTAATGCTTGTCTGAGATATGAGCTCCGCAACTACCAGGCACCATCTGAGAAAATTTCTGCTCGTTACCTTAACAAGACCCTGAGCCCAAAATCGCGTGAGAGGGCCAAACTTCTAATGCTGGAATATGCAGGATCAGAACGAGGACAGGGCGACACTGACCTTGAAACTGCTTCTTCTGCACCTTCTTCACCCAGAAGCGAAGACTTGGACAATGTTTCAGTTGACAGTTCTTCTAGCAGATACAGCTTCTTTGGCAAAAGGCCCAATCTGATGCAAAAGCTCAAGAAGTGGGGAAGGGGCAAGGATGATGAAAGCAGATTAGCTTCACCGACACAGTTCTTCACTAGTGACTCCCCAAAGAGCGCCAGCCAGAAACCAAAGGGGCCCCTAGAGGCTCTCATGCTCAGAAATGCAGGAGATGGTGTGGGCATTACAACCTTTGGAAAGAGGGAACAGGATCCCAGTGATATCATGGATGAGGCAAATGTTGCATCTTCATTCCATTTGATGTCAAAGACTGTACAAGGTTTTGCTGATGACAAGTATCCCGCTTACAAAGATAGGCATAAACTTGCCACAGAACGGGAGAAGGTAATAAAAGAGAAAGCCGAGAAAGCTAGGGTACAAAGATATGGCGGTGTCAACAGTTCAGGTATTGTGCCATCTCCAAGATCTGCACTCCCTCCAAAACTTGCTCAAATAAAGGAAAAGGCTCCTACAGCTAATGCTGAATCCAGTGACCAACCTAGTGATAACCAGAACAACCCTCTAGTTGTGACACAACTGAAACTTGCAAATATTGAGAAGAGAGCTCCAAGAGTTCCTAGGCCACCTCCTGCACCATCAGCCACTGCCAACACTGCAAGTGCGTTGTCTCCACCGCCGCCACGCCCGCCAGGTGCACCTCCTCCACCACCGCCTCCTGGCAAACCTGGTGGCCCGCCACCGCCGCCACCACCCCCTGGTTCCCTACCTAGGAATCTTGCTGGTGGTGACAAGGTACACCGTGCTCCAGAGGTTGTAGAGTTTTATCAAAGTCTCATGAAGCGTGAAGCCAAGAAGGACACAACTTCTCTGGGATCAACAACATCAAGTGCCTTTGATGTGAGAAGCAACATGATTGGAGAGATTGAGAATAGATCAACATTCCTCTTAGCTGTAAGTTATTCAAGATGATGCTTCCTTTCAGAAATATATATACTACCGAATTCCCTTAGTCCATTAGTAATTCAGGTAGATTATTATGAGGACTGACTTTTTATATAAAAAAATGGATTTGTTTCAGGTCAAAGCGGATGTGGAGACACAAGGAGACTTTGTCGAGTCTCTAGCAAATGAGGTCCGAGCAGCAAGTTTTGTAAATATCGACGATGTTGTTGCATTTGTAAATTGGCTTGATGAGGAACTATCCTTCTTGGTAAGCTTATCTATTTTTTTTCTATATGCAACACATGACAAAATAGTTAGTACTGAAAAAGGGTCAAATAACATTTTAGGTCGATGAGCGGGCAGTACTAAAGCACTTTGATTGGCCAGAGAGCAAAACTGATGCACTAAGAGAGGCAGCCTTTGAGTATCAAGACCTGCTAAAATTAGAACATAAGGTTTCGTCGTTTACTGATGATCCAAAGCTTGCATGTGAAGAAGCTCTCAAGAAGATGTATTCCTTGCTTGAAAAGTAAGCATCTCCTCTGAACCATTCTCTCCCAAATTCCATTGTTCTTCAGAGTGAGATAATAAATATCTTGTCAAGTCCAAATATGTTTAGCAAGCATAAGCATTTGATGTTTAATTGGACTAACAAGTATTATACTTATGTCAGAGTGGAGCAGAGTGTTTATGCGCTACTTCGTACTAGAGACATGGCCATATCACGCTACAGGGAGTACGGACTACCGGTGGATTGGCTGTCTGGTTCCGGGGTAGTTGGCAAGGTTAACATCTCTAGCCTATGTCTATTGCCACCTTTTTGGACCATGTAGCAAATCTAAAATCCAAATTTCATCTTGTTATGTTGGGAATAGATCAAATTGGCATCTGTTCAGCTGGCGAAGAAGTATATGAAGAGGGTTGCCACAGAGCTTGATGCCTTGCAAGGCACCGAGAAAGAGCCCAACAGAGAGTTCTTGCTTCTTCAGGGTGTGAGATTTGCTTTCCGAGTTCATCAGGTATATAATTCCGCAACCATTTATGTAATAATGGTGTTGATTAATCTGAAAGGTGAAATGGAGATTTTGTAATTAACAACTTACTCTCGAGTGCTCTGCAGTTTGCCGGAGGGTTCGATGAGGAAAGCATGAAGGCATTTGAAGAGCTAAGAAGCAAGATGTCTACACAGACATCTGCTCCACAAATTTCCGATGTATAGCTCTAACCATGATGCATTTCACACTTCTTCACTGGTTTCTTTGTTGAAAGGCAAGATTAATTGAGTAGCTAAAAGTAGTAGAAAAAGAGAAGTATAAATCCCAATATAATATTGCTGTCTCCATCAAGATGTATATGGCAGGAAAGAATGATAAGTGTACAGATGATAAATACATGTATTACTAGATTAGTGTGTGTATTTATTTGTATTTAAAGGCAGCAAGCGCATTTTAAAAGCAAAAGAAGAACTAGTAGTACCAATCAGCTAGACTGCTTATAGAAGCTACTCCTGAAGAAGCTATTCTCAACACTGAAAAGAGGCGGAACAAACCTTGAGAGCTGAAGTGGGAATGCCATATGCTGATATGTCATATGCCCAGGCCCAGCCCTGTTTAAAAAAGGAAAAAGGAAAATGAGAAAGGAAGGTAATACAGTAAAAAAGAGGAAATGGCCCATGCAGGTCTCGAACCTGCGACCTTCGCGTTATTAGCACGACGCTCTAACCAGCTGAGCTAATAGGCCTTTTATGTTTTAATGCATACTCCTCCATCCAATAAAAAACGAATCTCGTCGACTTCGCGATGTTGCTCCTCTACCACTCCCGGCACCGTGAAGCGGCGACGCGTCGGGCTTGTCGACTTCGCGTGCCTGAAGCCGCTGCGCATTCCGGTGGCCGGGCTGCTCGAGCACATCAAGCTCATCGGCTGCTTCGACGACGGCAGCGTGGAGTTCATGACCGTCGCTACACGTGGCATGGGTAATGATGTTAATTTATGCTCAACATGGATGGAAATTTATCAAAACCATTTACAGTTGTTGGATTACAGAAACACAACTGCCAGCCTTTCCCTCTCACGGGCTTCTGCCAAAGCAGCAGCAGTCTGCGCATTATTACTATCTGCTTCACCAATCTTAGCGCATCGTAGGTTCTATCAGCTGGGCTGACGAAGTATGAACCCTGGGAGGAACATATGGCCACAAGAAGTTCAGCAGAGAAAACAATAGCAAGCAATGCCCACAGTGCGTGACAATATAAGTGATTAATGAAAAAAAAATACTCTCAGGCATGACTCAATAATAAGAAATATATTTCCATCCGCTTAGATTTAGCCATAGTTCACCAAGTTATATGCTTGTTCCAAACACTTGAGCTCTGCATTTCAAATACATAAATTTTACAAAGTGCTAAATGTACCTGAAATTGCATATCTACGAACCAAGGGGACTTCCATGCTGAAGGAGATTCTAGTCCTCTTTTGATGCCTGGGGTATCAGCCAATCTAACAAGAGCAAGGCTTCAGAATTCAGAATGACATATTAAAAGGAACAAGGATCAAGTAATCTCTTCATACTTCAGTAGTAGGAAACAAGCGGGGTTTAATTCCCTAATGTAGTATCTTAAATGCATTCATCAGTAGGATTCTAGTGTTCTTCAACGTTCTCGTCGTCAGCGCTGAGATCGTCACCGTCGGCTGGTACAGCGGCAAGGACCAGAGCAAAGCTCCTCCTCAACTGCTACTTCCGCGCCGGCTGCTCCGCCGCGTTCGTCACCAACAAATGCGACGGCGGCACGCTGCTCTTCTCCCCTGCCGGTTGCCGGTCGTTGGCCGCCGGACCTCCTCCTCTCTCGTCTCTCCCAGCCGGCCTTTGTCGGGGAGCTCGACGCCGTGACGCTCGGTTGGAGCTCTCTTTCCCTCTCTCGGCGCCGTCGCGCGCGGGGTGGATCTCGACGCCGTGGCGCTCGGTCCTTCCCGGTCAGGGCCAACCGCATGGCCGTCGCCTCGCCCTGGTCTGCCCCCGGGCTCGACGCCGACCCCATCCTCGTCTGCGCCGCACCAAGTCGCCGCCGCATCACCCATCATCGGCCACCAGACGAGGAGCAAAGTGAGGGAGAGAGAGAGGGGAAGGGAGAGATGACGTGGCATCCTAATATATGGATCAATGTGGGTTCCACGCTGACTCAGCCGTCACGTTGGACAAATCTGGCGTGAAGAACCTCAGGGGTGACCGGTTTTATATATTTAAGAGACTCCGCATGGTTTTACGGTTTGGGGACATTTTTTATCTCCCTTACAAGTTGAGAGACCTTCGGTGTACTTTTTCCTATATAAAATGAGAAAAATGTTCAAGCCCATATATTGAGGAGCCCATGAAGGAGGCCAGCCCAATGATCCTTCCTTTGTGTCCAAACAGACGACGTCTTGTTAAACCCTAGAGCCACCACCCACAGAGCAACATCGCCGCCGCCACCGCCAGCCGCAACAGCACCGACGACGAGGAGGAGCTGAGAATACGAGGCGATGCCGAAATCCAAGCGCAACCGCCCTGGTAACTGCATCTAATCCGCGGCGATTCGTTGCTCATCCATCTATCTGACTGATTCTTACCTCGCTCGCATCCTATCTTTTGCAATTTTATATGGTTATTATATATGCTGTTAGTTCTAATCATAGAGAACCATACAGTTTACTTTGCACAGCTTGTTTACTTCATTCATGCTTTTCACTCGCCAGTAGTAAGGTACAGACTATGCTGTGATGCTGTTTCCCCAAGGCCAAGGGAGATCCAAAAACCTTGTCTTTTTTTTTCTATCCTGCATATTCTGCACAGATCGCTCTTGTTTTGTAATTAGTTAGTTATCAGCACCAAATCTCTAATTTGTGCCCCTGATTCGAGCGCAGTAACCTTATCCAAGACCAAGAAGAAGCCTGGATTAGAGCGCAAGGGCAAAGTGGTTACCGATATCAAAGATGCCGTCGAGCACTACGCTAATGCCTATGTCTTCACCTACGATAACATGAGGAATCAGAAGCTCAAGGACCTCAGAGAGCAGCTCAAGTCCTCCAGCAGGTAGCTGCCTCTTATTATTATTAGTCTAGCCAGTACGGTGCCTCTCTGCTCAAAGCATCAAACGATATGCTGCATAGATTGAATTTTGGCTTTTCGCTTTAACCTTGCAACTACAACATATTTGCATGTATTTGCAAAAGCTATTCTAGATTGGCTGTTTGATGAAATTCTTACATACTCCCTTTATGTCAGGATATTCCTTGCTGGAAAGAAGGTCATGCAGATAGCGCTGGGGCGTTCATCTGCTGATGAAGCTAAAACAGGCCTTCATAAACTTTCCAAGGTGACATTTTCCTTTCTTAACACTTGGCATATAATACAATCCACACCATTCCTATGAATTATGAGCTCTTTCTTGACGTATGTTTTCTGTATTTAGTTCCTACAAGGTGATACTGGACTGTTCTTTACTAATCTTCCAAGAGATGATGTAGAGAGGTAGTCTCCTCATCCAATGGCTTGCACTTTATACTTATACATGATGACTGCCTATGCTTGATATGAGCATTTTTTTGCCATATATTCCACTGCAGATTATTTCGAGAATTCGAAGAGCATGATTTCGCCAGGACAGGAAGTATTGTGACAGAAACGGTATTCAAGTTATCCTTTCTATTTATGTACCTCTGTTCATGGCTTGTTTTCTCAGTAAACAATCTAGAATGACCATGCTTATCGAGATTTATGCTGACGTTACCAATGACAATGTTAAGCTCTTTGGTGATTTTAGGAATGAAAGTAGTAGGATTTACAGTAACTTGTGGAAAATTAAGTCAAAAGCACTTTGACAGTGTTAAGCTCTTTGGTGATTTTGTTTTAGCTGTGGTGTCTGCAATGCACAATATGTCTGGAATAACTATTCACTTTCTCTTCTTCATAAAACATGGTTTACTAAATTTAGAACATGATGATATGTCAGGTGGAGCTTAAGGAAGGCCCCTTGGAACAGTTTACACATGAAATGGAACCCTTTCTACGCAAGCAAGGACTGCCAGTTCGTCTGAACAAAGGTTAGCAGTTTCTGTACATTTTTTGTGCATGTGCTGGAAATTACCATGTGAAATGGCTGTTAAGTTTGGTCTGGTTGATGCAGGGGCGGTGGAATTAGTTGCAGATCACATAGTATGTGAAGAAGGGAAGCCCATTTCACCAGAAGCAGCACAAACTCTGGTACATACTGCATATCGTGCATGATTAAAAAAAAAAGCAAAATCAGATTGGCATTTTTGATTATGTTAATATTGTGACCAAGCCAATGGTAACATCTTTGTGGTGTCGTAATTATTATGTGCTTTAAGAAATACACAAGTTAAAACACATTGGCCAATCCTATGTCTTTCTATTCCATTGCAGTAAGGTCCTCTTGAATTTCTGTATTGCAGCGGTTGCTTGGGATGCAGATGGCAACATTCCGACTGTACCTTGTCTGCCGGTGGTCCTCTGATGACTTTGAAGTTTACAAGGAAGGCTTGGCGCAACTGCGAGCTGAAGCTGATGATTCTTCTTAAGCTTGTTTGGCTTGCACACCCAGTTTGCAGTGACGCACTTGCTGTCTTGTTGTGCTGAGGCAGTTTTTGGTATTGTGCGTGCGCATGGCGTTTGTGCTCTTGGTACGTTGGAAATCTGAAAAATGTAATATGTTAACAGGGTGTTCGTTGTCCTAGTATTTTCTATAAAGCTATTCGTGTCTTATTAACAGGGTGGCACATCTACGCAGCTAACATGCTTCATTTGTTGGTATTTAAACTCTTCTGAACAATTGTTACTCCCTGAATGAATTCGTTGGTAGCTATAATTTGATTTCTCGCCAAAAAAGAAGAAAGAAAACGTACTCTTTGGTTGTTTTTGGTGCCTAGCCTGGGGCCTCGGAGTCGGTGAGTGTTGTGTGCAGGTTTGTTTGTTTTATTTATGTTTCATTCTTCCTGTTTCTTTTATTTAATTCTTTCGTATAGAAAATTTCCGAAATGTTATTTCCAGTTCATATCTCAACGGTGATGATAAATAAATAGACCAAACCTTTTTTATGTCATGAATGAATATTGAAAATTTGTAAGACTCGGGCTGCCAGGCTTCATCAAGGAAACTCATTGGGGGTTACAAACTGAGATTCCTTCAACTACTATGTTGCTAAGCCCTAGAACTTGACATTTTCTCTTGTCTCCTGTCCACCAGTCAAGCATATATCGTTGGTCTCTTCCTTGGTTAATGAGCTATACATAGGTTTGTTACTACTAATAAGATACTATTCCATATGTCCTGTTAGTTAGGACTGTACTACTATACATGGCTTATTAATCAATATACTACATTGTTATTACTATCATCATCACCATCATCTTTGTAAGTAGACGAAGCTGCACTACAAACCTAACAGTTTGTGTATCTCTCTAAACTCGGCTGTGCACTCTAGCTGCAGCTGTAAGCTCAAACTAGGATTCTAGGAAGAGTAATGGCGTCGGCGGCGGTGCCGGAGTGGCTGAACAAGGGCGACAATGCCTGGCAGATGCTCTCCGCCACGCTCGTCGCCCTTCAGGGCTTCCCGGGCCTCGCCCTCTTCTACGTCGGTGCCGTCCCCCGCAAGTGGGCGCTCACCTCCGCATTCATGGCGCTCTACGCCATGGCCGCCACCATGCCGTGCTGGGCGCTCTGGGCGCACAACATGGCCTTCGGCCGCCGCCTCCTCCCCTTCGTCGGCCGCCCCGCCCCGGCGCTCGCCCAGGACTACATGCTCAGCCAGGCGCTGCTCCCCTCCACCCTCCACCTCCGCTCCAACGGCGAGGTTGAGACGGCCGCGGTGGCGCCGCTGTACCCGTCGGCGAGCATGGTGTTCTTCCAGTGGGCCTTCGCCGGCGTCACCGTGGGGCTGGTCGCCGGCGCCGTGCTCGGGCGCATGAGCGTCAAGGCGTGGATGGCGTTCGTGCCGCTGTGGACGACGCTGTCCTACACGGTGGGAGCGTACAGCATCTGGGGCGGAGGCTTCCTCTTCCACTGGGGCGTCATGGACTACTCCGGCGGCTACGTCGTGCTCCTCGCCGCCGGCGTCTCCGGCTACACGGCCGCGTACTGGGTGGGACCCAGGAGGAAGGAGGAGGACGAGGAGGAAATGGCAACGGCGAGTGGTGGCAACCTGGTGGTGATGGTGGCCGGCGCGGGCATCCTGTGGATGGGGTGGACCGGCTTCAACGGCGGCGACCCCTTCTCCGCCAACACCGACTCGTCGGTGGCGGTGCTCAACACGCACATCTGCGCCACCACCAGCATCGTCGCTTGGGTTTGCTGCGACGTCGCCGTCCGCGGGAGGCCGTCGGTGGTGGGCGCGGTGCAGGGCATGATCACCGGCCTGGTGTGCATCACTCCAAGGTCAAACATCAAGTACAGCTTTCTTCTAGTAGTAATTTCTGATGAGATGCCTGTTCCTGATCTGAGCTAGCAAACATAACATGCTCTGTTTTGGGACCTAATTACTACTGCTTCCTCCTCCGACTTAAATTATTGTCCTCTTCTTTTTTGAAGGAGGGGTCATTGAGAAGTTAGCATGGTAACTTCTCCAGTGATAGGATTTGGGTTCCTCCACTCCACATATGACATCAAGTTTGTAACTTGGTTCCTGCAATTACAAATAAATTTTAGCATAATCAAAAAAAAATTGCAGCAATTAATTAATTAATTAATCGAGAGAAACCAAAAGAGTGTGAATTTAATTTACGTACCCAAGGATGTTGCCTGCAATATTTGAGAAGCAATTCCTCCAGGTTGGTGCGAGCAAACCTCTGTCGCTTCACATAGGCTGACCTTCTCTTGGACAATTCTGCCAAGTCTTGTGGAGCTGCAGATGGAGGAGGCAGTGCTCTTTTCCTGCCAATCTTTTTGGTTATCATTAGCCGCTCTTGGATCATCATTGCGTTTAGCTGCTCCCAATCAGCATCGGAGATGACACGGCCAGAGCCATCGGTAATGGATCTTAGCAAGTGGCGCAGCCGGTCGAGCTTCTCGCCGTCGCCGGAGAGGGAGAGGAGGAATGACCCGAGCGCGGTGTGCTGCGGGTGCTTGGAAGCCTCGGCTGCGGCGGCGTAGGGGAGGATGGCGACGAGGAGGCACATGTAAAGGGAGAGTATGTGGTCGCATGGCGGGGAGTCATCAGTAGGAATATGTTGGGTTGCATGAGCCGATACGCACTTGGATAGCTTGGTCTTCATGGCCGCAGTACCAAACGTCAGGTCGGAGATGTACCGGAGTTGCTGCTGAGATTGTACTTCCCCATGATTTGGATGGAGATTCGAGCAAAAGCGCCTCCCCCAATGCAGGTGGCATTGTTGGCAGCACAAGAAGTGGGTGTTGGGCGGCGGCCATTGGCAGGTGTGGAGTAGATCCTTGATGGCCCGGACGTCATGGGTGGTGAGCAGGTGGTTGGAGCGTTGGAGCTTGTGGTTGGATCGTCGGGCGCCGGGTGATCTGCTTGGACAGCAGCGATCCTGAGGGCGGCCTTGATGTTGCCACCGTCGGGGAGGGGGAGCAGCAATGTTTGTGTTTGTGTTTGAGGGAGATGGCGGCGGTCGTGGCGGAGGAGGTGGATGGCGAGGAGGAGGTTGTAGGAGGCGATGTGGAGGTAACGCCTGGCCTGGTGGTCGGTGACGTAGGGGAAGTAGAGCTTGAGGAAGGCGAGGAGGCCTCTGAATGAGGTGTGGGACATACTAAACCCGTAGGACTTCTTGCGAGAATCTGACATGTAGTAATGGTGATTAAGATGGTGGTGAGGATGATGTTGGTGACGGGGTCGGCGAGGCCCAAGCAGCATCCGGCCTCGCCGAGGCAGTCAGCGAGCTCCGGGATGTCGTCCAGGGGAAGCCGGCGCGCCGCCTCGTCGTACCACGTGTGGTTGCATCGGTTGTCGTCGTCGCCGCCGCCGTGATAACACGTAAATCTGCCCAAGCTGCTGCTCCGTCGCTGTCGGTTGGGGATTTTCCGCCGCTTCATCGCAACCTGACACTTTTCCTTCCTTTCTTGTTGATGTTTGTTCAGTTGAGGCTTCCTTCCTTGTTGGTGTATGTATATATAAACACAGTAATAAGGCTGAATCGGATACGGGAGCACGTAGTACCAACCCACTGTAGCTTACCACCGCCGCTTTCTTTCTCCTGCCCAACTGTTATCGATCCATCCATATATCTCCCTAACATCGACGATCAAACATTTCGGGGACGCCTACGCGTCGGACAGCACTAAAATCGGACGCCTCTCTAACAACTCTCTCTCTCACTACCTCTTGGTATATATACTTATTTACCAAGTTATAAATAGTTTTATCTAATAATTTATCAATCCAATCTACGATATAATTATATCATTGTAATCATTATAATTAAATCTTTGCAACAAGATCTCATATGGTTATATTTTGATAAAAAAAATGAGCGTTGTTTCACCCCTTATATTAAAATTGTTTCATCATGTAATTAAATGTGTTTCAAAGAGATGCAACATTTCGATAATACTGACTGCAACATCGACAATCACTGCATGAAACGTTTAGTCCTAACTAGTGAAACATTAAAAAAAGTCATGTGAAACATAATATATTCACAAGAATAATTAATTTGCTAAAACATTTTTTAGACCGTGTGAAAAAAATGTGTAACATTTATAAATGGAATAGTGAAACACTAAGAAATACTTATTGAAACAACTGAGTAAAACTATGCGCAACATTAAAGAATAAGTTTTAAAAAATAACCAGAATATAATTGAGTGAGATCTTGTTGTAAAGATTTAATTGTAACAAATCCAATAGTACGATCAAATTATTGACAAGATAAGTAAAATAGAAAAAAAAAAGTTGTTTAAAGTTTTAAAATAAAGTTGTTATAAGCGTATACATCACCCGTAGGTGCACCTGAGCACAAGAAAAAATAATCACCGCGTAACACATGTACTACTAACATTGAGTGGAGGCGTTCAATATTTGTGATTGTATCGGACGTCAGACAGCAAGTATTCGTCAAACATTTCAGCAGAATTTCCATCCAGCCCATCATAATGCCCTTAGTTTACTATTACTTCCTATTCAAAACCATCATGCATATCTCCAACCGGAAAAAGTACGAATTACCTCCTGAACCACAAAACCGGATATTCTTCACCCCCAACTATGCAAACCAGATGAATTACCTCCCTCGGTTCAATCAACGGTGGATTTTATCTACGTGACGTACGCATGGCAGTCCAGTCAGCATTCTATTTATAAAAAAATATGGGACCCACATGTCATACTCTTCTTCTCTCTCTCTTCTCTCTCTCAATCTGTCTCACTCTTCCTCTCTCTCTCACCGGTGGGTCGGCGGCGGCGGGGGACACGGAGCAGCGTGTGACGCGGAGGCGGCGGCGGCGGCGGGTGACGCCGCCGCCTCTACCCCCGCTCTCTCTCTCTCTCTCTCTCTCTCTCTCTCTCTCTCTCTCTCTCTCTGGACATAGCCACGCAGGAGGCAACGGGCGGGCGGCGGTCGAGGAGCCGAGGCCGGCGACAGGCGGGGGCGGAGAAGGCAGTGGGCGGCGGGTGGGCGCGGCGAGGAGCCGAGGCCGGAGGTGACTGCATGCGGCGGGCAGTGTCAGAGGCCGCACAGAGGCAACTGTGGCGAGCAGCTCTTCCACTCTCTCTCTCTCTCTCTCTCTGTGCGGAGGTCCTCCCGCGCCGTCGCTCCCCGGGATGAGGAGAAGCCGCCGGAAGCCGGGGAGGCCGCTCCGCCTTGCCGCCTGCACGAACGAGGTCCACCTCCGTCGCGCTCTTCCTCCCGCCCTTGGGCCCGGTTCGCTGCGCCGGCAGCGGCGCATCGCCGGCGGACGACGAGAGCGTGCGACAGACGGGGAGCGAGGCGCAGGGAGGTGGGACAGGGCGCGGCGCGACGGCTTGGAGGAGGAGCCGCGGCCCCGCGCGCCACCGCAGACCCTGTGCGCCACTGGCCACCGCGCGCCTACGACGAGGAGGAGGAGCCCGTCGCCTACCCCGCGTCCCCGCTCGCCCGGTCGGCCTCCGTCTCCGTCGCCGGCCGCCGTCGTCCTCGGGCCCCCTCCGCCACCCACAACTGGCTCCGCCCCCGCGCACCACCGTCCTCACCTCACCGCCGCCACGCTCCTCCGCCTCCGCCTCCGCGCCGACGTCCATGCCGTCCGCGTCGCCGTTGCGCCGTCCTCGCCGACCGCCCGCGCCCACCGCCCCGTCCTCGCCGTGCACGCTGTGCGAGAGAGAAAAGAGCGAGAGAGAGAATAGAGAGAGGGGAAGAAAGTATGACAGGTGGGTCCCATATTTTTTATTAAATAAAATGCTGACTGAACTGCTATGCGTACGCCACGTAGACCAAAACCACTGTAAATTGGGTCGAGGGGGGTAATTCGTCCGGTTTGCATAGTTGGGGGTGAAGAATATCCGGTTTTATGGTTCAGGGGGTAATTCGGACTACCGCGATAGTTCAGGGGGTAATTCGTATTTTTCTCTCCCCAACCCAAAGCTAAGCTTATTTCTACCATCGACTCTTTATTAGTTCTGTTGTTGAAATTAATTAATGAGTAAATTACACTAGCGATACTTAAATTTATAACGAGGTTTCACTTAGGTCCACGAACTTGCAAAACGCGCGTCGAGATCCCTAAACTTGGTTTAACGTATCATCCCGGTCCAAAGCCTCGTTTGATCATGGTCTTTTGCCAATATGGTATGCCACATAGACGATGATATAAACTTCAAAAAACTATTAGTAGTATAAATTAAATATCATCTTCTTAAACAAACCTTCTTCTATCTATTCTATTTATCTATTAAGTATGTAATATTATATAAAAACGTGTGACTACTAACGCGTTGCTAGCTTAATCATTCTGATATACTCTGGCATTAAGTCATAATGTCATACTAGTATCTTGCAAATGACTGTCTAATACCTGGCCGTCTGATCAGATGATTTATTTGACTTCTGATGATTAGATTTATCATGCTTCCGCGCTTCAAAAGGGAATTAATTAAGTGCAAGATAACACACCACATGTTATAACAGTATAAATATATGATTGATTAATTTGTAACTATATACTACTACGCGGCCGTCAGACGGTGCTAATTAAATAATTAAGGACTGACCAGGTTACTGTTAAATGGAGTACGAAAAACTGAATAATTAATAATAACATATATAGATCGAGAAGAAAATTTAAACACACGAGCAACACAATGCATGCATGTTCTAGAAAAACTAAATTGTTGAATGACGCGGAAACGTTTCTTTGCATCATATGGATCGGTCGGTCCACTGCTATAGGCGTGAACTCCATGCATCGAAATATATGGGAATTAACTAACGCTGAACCTTCTGTCCTCTTACCTTAGTAAGTATTGCCTGCTGGATCATCTCTATCATCTTATATATAGGAGTATATAGCTATCATCAGATCGACCGATGATTTCGATAGTAAGTTGCAGCAGAGACAAGTCGCAAATTAGACTCACTACATATATACGTATATACTTGCGAACTCTGATTATATTGTCGATCCAGGAGCAACCGAGATTAATCCTCTCCTTAGATTAGATATCATATAATCACTGACAGTGCCATGGCATCGTCAGCTTCGTCGGTGTTCGCGGCCTTCGACAAGGACGGCGACGGCAAGGTGTCCGCGTCCGAGCTGCGGGGCTGCATGGCGGCGGCGCTCGGGGAGGAGGTTTCCGAGGAGGAGGCGGCGGCGATCCTCGCAACGGCCGACACCGACGGCGACGGCTTGCTGGACCACCACGAGTTCATGAGGCTCTCTGCTGCTCATCAGTTGCAGGAGCCAGCGGAGGAGAGCCTAAGGTGCCTGAGGGAGGCGTTCGACATGTACGCGGAGGAGGAGGAGACGGCGGTGATCACGCCGGCGAGCCTGCGGCGGATGCTGAGGCGGCTGGGGTCAGAGCATCAGCGGCTGGAGATGGAGGAGTGCAGGGCCATGATCTGCAGGTTCGACCTCAACGGCGACGGCGTGCTCTCCTTTGACGAGTTCAGGGTCATGATGCTCATGGCTTGACCTACGTTTTATTTTGTTGCACTATTTCTCATTCATTCATTCTTTTGTTGTCAATTATTTAATTAGTGCAGATGACAGATTGATAGCTTGGTAATTCCTCATGTGTCCATATGATGATAGATTCATTCAATTTTATTGTTTTTTTACTTTGCAATTTGCATGCCATAGCACGCACGAGGAAGAATAGCTAGGTCTAGGACAACTTTGTTCAATGTTGATGGATAGAGACACAAGAGAAGAGATGGAAGAGTAAGCCCTGCCCTGCAGCTTCCCCATTTCAACGTTTTAGACGACGGCAGCCCGAGCCCATTGTTTGCATTGCACTGGGTCTTTCTAGATTAACAATATAGAAGAGTCTAGTCAATGTTGCAGAATCGAGCAACTTCGACGAAAAACACCATCCTCTGCCGTCGTAACCCTCTCTACATATCGATTCCTGACCAAGCGACATGCAAACGCGTAGATTTTGTTCGGATAACCAGCTTCATAACAAATCCAACTAGCAAATCACATGCAAACGCGTCGATTTTGTTCGGATAACCAGCTTCATAACAAACCCAATTAGCAAATCACACAGCATGCAGCGCAGGGGTGAAGGCTGCAACAAGGCAACCGATCGAGGAACACTTGCATTGTTTTGTTGTACACCACAGCAACCAGGGTTGGCAAATGCATTTATTTACTCAAAGAAAAACCCATATAATACTATAGAATACACAAGTCACTGGCAAGAGCGAAATATTCAAATACTCCATCTTTTTGTCCAAAGAAAAAAATATTTCAGGTACAAAATTCAAACAGCTGGACATGAGACCGTAAACAAGTAACATACAGACAATGGTGTTCCTGTTTATGGCTGCCAACGCCAACCACTACGGCAAAGTGTACATGCAAAATGTCTACAAGCTTTTTTATCACACAACCTATACAAATAATGGTACCAGCCTTTGCAGCTCCCGCTCAACCTAACAACCATCCCTCGTCCTATCCCATCGTAATATAATATATAGCAACTAGTCATTAACTCGACCTGGCTAGAGATTTCACTCGCCAAAATTGTCCTGGTACCAAAAGAATCAGTTTAAACAACCAATAATAGCACATCTACAACTTGAAAGATGCCTCCTCTTCTGTGTAAATTGAAATTCTTATCATCTAAATGAACTCTTCACAAGTGGATGATACTCAGTAGCTTCCCATTGGAGGCATCCCATATGCTGGCATAGGTCCGGGACCCATCGGAGGCATCCCCATTCCGCCCATCGGAGGCATGCCCGGCATCCCCATTGGCGGTGGAGGACCGCCCATACCAGGTGGAGCAGGCAAGGCGAGAGGAAGCAATTGGGCATACATGTTCTGCACCATACAACAATGTAATACCGCTCGTCATGCTGCCTACTAAATAATAACAGAATAATAACCAAAAGAAGAGCAATCTCTATAGATTACCTGCTGAGCAACAAGATCTTTTTCTTCCTTCTCTTTAGCCCTTACTTCATTCTGTGATTCAATCCTGTCCTTCACTAGCTCATCAACCTTGCTTGTGTACTCCCGAATGAACTGCACACGAAGCAAGCTTTGTTGTTATGGAAAACTGTTCGTAAATGAATAGTCCCAAACACATGAACGGAAACAAGATACCTGTAACAGATAGGGGAATGCAAAGTCCACCATGTTGTTCATCCATGCAAGCTCAAGAGCAACATCCGCACGGATCAAGTCATAACAAATAAAGAGACAAGAAGCAAAGCATTCTTTCTTTCCCTGCAATACACAATTATAGATGTTACTCATCAGAATGCAATACAGATTATGCCTAAATAATAAAAAAAATCAGGTGAGCTTGCTTGTTTCACTTCAATTGGAGTACAGCTTGTCTATTTTTAGATGGCAATGCTACAGAAACTGGATTTCTGGATGCATATTTCCATACACACTACATTGCTAGCTCTTAGATATCATCGAATAGAAAATTATGCCACTAAAAACAGCAATAAAAATGCATGGTCTGCATATAACTAGAAGAGATGGCAATGTTACAAGTTAATGCAGCATACTACATGCTAAATATTCAACACAAAAACAAAATAGAAATTTATGGGCTTAAATTGAACCTGTTCAATGAAATAGACAAGCAAATCTTCTGACAGCTCGCGGTCACCAGACTGTGAGCATGTCTCCATGCAATCCTTGTACATGTTGTCTTTCTTCGACAGGGCAATAGATTGCTTCCATCTGCCAGCCTTCTTGTAAATGTAGGCAGCGATCCTCCTCATCTCAAGCAATTCATGCTTCTCAAGCTGATCAAGGCATTCCAGCCATTAGTTATTCAAAATAAAATAAAAAAGGAAAAATAACATCAATAAGCAGTACAATCATATAATCGCTTTACCTTTTGGGCAAGACCTATCTGATCAAAGTTGTCATGCATATCAACCGATTCACGGAGTCTCTCATAGTCCTCCTCTTCAACATAAAGCTCATTCAAAGCTTCATTCACAGCAGAGACATTGTTGCTCTGAACTGCAACCATGTATGGTTTCACAAGATGCAACTGACCAGCCTGTACAAATAATAATTAAACAGTTCAAAATTTTGAAACAGAGCAAAACTGATAGACCAATAGAAGGCCCTGCCATAAGAAACAAACCTTGCGCATTATGTCCACGACTCTTGTATGATCCAAACGAAGCGCAAGTACATTGAGAAGGTCATTGATGAGATCAGGATGCTCTTGCAGATAGAAGTGCACTGCCTTGTAGTATAGCTCAACATTTGCAACTTTAACAGCAACATCCTTAAATTGCATATGATCCCATGCATCCGGAGAATGGTTCATAATAGTGGTGGCAGCATTGTCAAATTCATCATACTGGATGTATAGGTAAGTAAGCTCTTTCCAGTGCTGCTGTTCATCACAAGCACGGATAAGCTTAGGAATGTTGAGACGTGTGGAGAAAAGTTTGATGTGTTCCATGAGCTTCTCAGGGCGATATCTAGCATAGAGGACTCCTAATTCTGTGAAGATGCCCATGTGAGCACGCTCCAGTCCTAGACCACTTTCCATGAGGGAAATAAGTTCATTGAAACATCCTCTGTTCTGGTAGTATTCACTTACTTCCTCCAAATCATCAACCTATACAAAAAAGGGTGTTAGAAAAAATCTAGATAAGAAAAGACTTGTACTGAAATATGTTTTAGTTCTAACAGGTTGCTCCTGTATATATACCTGGACAATAATATTGAGACCACATATTTGTGCTAGCCGGAACTCCTCGGCATCAACACAAGCAAAGCAGACTTCCTTCCATGTTTTAGCACTGTTAGCCTTGCGAGCAGCATCCACAGCACCTTGGAACTGCTTCAGCTTAACAAGGGTAACAGCCAGCTTAGCCCAGTTTGAGATGAAGGCATAGATGATCTTTGCTGCTTCATAAAGTTCTTCATCATACAGACGATCACCAACATTTTGAAGATTGGCAACATTTGGCATGAGAATGAACTCTTCAATATCACTGAGTCTATCAATCTTAGCATACGCAAAGATGAGTTCTCCATCAACTTTGGGTTCCCTTGCCTTCTGCCTTACCATAAGCAAGTACTTAACTAGATCATCGTATACATTAGCTTCCTCAGCAGCACGGATGACGTCGAGGAAATGTGTTGCATCATCTGCACGAATGAAGGACTCAATTGCTTCACTAACCAAACCTTCACGCAACTGGGCCTTGGCAACCTGGCTCCAAACAGCATCTTCTTCAACACGGAATGCAAACTCTTCAGCTCTTTCTATGCTTCGGATGTTGTCCAATAGAACATTGACAGCCTGCACATTTAAGTTGAACTTCTTGAAGATAGCGAAAGCCTCCTCAAACAGCTGTGCTTCAACTGCTACTTCTCCAACAGCAGGCCCATCAAAGTTGTCCAGCCTGTTGACATAGTCCATGACCCTGGATGGGTCAGCCTTGATGGCTGTCAAGATGAGAAGGTTCTGCAGATTGAAGTTTCCACTGAAAGCAGAATTCTGAAGGACGATCTTTTCAAGAAGTTCAATCAGTTCATGGGGAAGATCAGCTGTCATGAAAGCCTTAACAGCAGCAGACACTTGCTCGGGGCTCTTGCTTTCAGGCAAAGCCGTAGAAACCACTTGGTCAATGAGTTGCCTTCTATATTCATTTTCAGGCTGTAGAACTTTATCCCACAGATCACCATCCATTCTTTCAACCACATACCTGGCAATTCAAATCGATTTCTATGTAAGCAATCAATCGATGGATTTAAAGATTCAGAAGAAATAAAATTAAAAGTATGAAGAATAAAAACAATTTGCATACCTAGCTTGCAGCTTGAACAGTGAGTTTTTATTGGTGACATTAATAAGTTCATCATCACACTGTCCACGTCTGTAAGCAACAACAGCAAGGGTAGGATCCCGCTTTTCACAGTATTTACCGACCACGCGAGAGTCATAAAATGGATTGGTGGTAAGGAAGTGCTCAGGATTATTGTTGCTGTCAATGATGATTTTTCCAAGAGCATTGTGCACATGGACATCTTGGCTACCCTCGCTCACTAAGTGCTCCAAAAATTGTGTCAGCAGCCGTAGGCGGTTCCTGAAAAAAGAAATATAAAAGATGAGGTCAGCAACAAAACAAAAAAGCATATGTTTGTGTGCGTGTGCACATGCCCTTAATCTGGTTGTGGAATACAAGATAATATAAAGAATCATACCTCTTCTCGCATTCATCAACTAGTGGCTCAACAGGAAGGAGAGAACGGACAGACAGAATCAAACCCTTAATGAAATCTTCAGGGCACTCATCATCAAGTAGCTGTCCAACAACTAATGGAGCATTTCCAGGGTTCACCTACAATATAAAGGAAAATAAGAATTTAAATACATAGCACATGAGAATGATGATACTCCAATAACACTGAATTGGAAGAGTTGCATACTTTCTGTACATAGCCTTCAATATACCGAAGCATATTATTTGTATACAGATAGTGGGTCAAATCTGGAACAAATCCAAAGCGGTCGCAGACATTAATCAGCGGACGGGCATCAGGCAGTTTCGCTTCCATTAAAAAGTTCTTTGTCTTCTCCGCATCATAAAAGTTGGATTCCCTGGTTACACGTTCAACTTCTTTGATCTGTCCAGTCCTAGCAGCTGCTTCTATGTATTTGAAATGAATATCTGGATCCTCACTGTTGAATGTAAAGAACGATATTAAGGTGCGCCACGTTAAGGACAAAATTGCTTCGCACATATCAACATCAGGAGTAGTTAACTACCTGGAACTCAAATAAGCTCCCAAGAAAAAGTAAAGGCCCTCGTAAGATTTGAATTGCTCAAACAGTTTTATGCAAGCATCAACCCCTAGCTGCTCAGAGTATTCTTTGGCAGCCTGCAGATATGACACATGTTTCGATAATAATCAGAACCAATGTGAGAAGTGACAAAAAAGGGAAGGTTAAACTAAATGTAGCAAATACCTGTACAACAATTTGAAGATTCCCTCTTAGATTGACCAGCAGAAGGTCCTTCATGCACTCCAAAGCCCACTCTCTTGAAAGAGTGCCAAAGAACTCAACAAGTGCCTGTTCAATAATGGTGTAAATAGACCACCCCAGCCAGTAATAATAGACAGGCAACAAAGCATAACTTAAGATAACAAACCTGTGGCTCAATGGCATGGGTATTCACCATGACACGCTTGATATCTGGTAATTCTGTGTAATGCTGCATCACAATATAATGTTAATTAAACAGACAGGCAAAGAAAAAAAAAGTAAACCAAAACAACAAAAAGGTACTGACCTGGAGAGCTCGCAAGTACAAGCCAGCCTTTTCACAAAGCTGAGCAACACGAGGGCGATCATAATGACTGAACATACCATTAGCAAGGATGGCATCAGCAACATTTGGGTAAGTGACCAAGTTGATCTCCAAAACCTACAACCAATTCAAACAGAAACTACTGAGCAACACAAACACAACAGTATAAAGGTAAAAGAAGCCACTGAGCAACATGGCAATGCAAAGGCAAAAGGCCTAACTTATTGGGAAAAAACTGCTAACCTTGGTTTGAAGAAAAGCATGCTCCGGCAAGTTTGGCTTTAAAACATCCAGCAGGAAAGCTGTTGCCTCACGTATCATGTTTCTCTGTTAAAAAATGGGCATGGTAAGGCAAGACACAACTGAATTTCATGGTAAAAAAGCAAAGGTATTACATACCGACTATGCATTGAAATGAATTAAAAGGATACCTGAAGGAAGAGATCAGTTATAGTATTGTAATCAACTGGACAGCCCCCCTCCATTTGTGACATCATGAGCGCAAAGTTGACAGCTCCCTGGTAAAAGAGATATACAGTAAATAATTAATTTTGCAAATAAAAATCAACAACCCACAGAACAAAGCAGAGTATTTCACCCTAGCCCAAAATAGCTTAACCAATACATTACCTGTGGATCCGTACGTAAAATGGTCTGGAGGAGGAAGAGGTAGTCAGGGGTGTATCCAACCTGAAACAGCAAATGTATTAGGCCAACAGTTTACATCAAAGCTGAACTCTTACAGCTGAAAATGAGGATTCATCAATACTGAACAAATATACCTGCTTTGAATATATAAGGATCTTGTCAAATTCCCTTCTTTCAGCAAAAGCGGCAACAACTTTAGGGGTTGCCCTAGCCTTTATGTATATTTTCAGAGCAAGATCATTGTCCACAGTCTACACCAAAGAGTGCAGGTATCAATTAATGAACAATCCAGACAGTCAAACAGGACACAGTGTAACAAAATCGATATGTGCAATCAACAAACAACTTAACACCCATTTTACCTTGACAAGATCTCCAAGTTCTTCACTGCACTCCAATTTGTCTTCAGCCAACCAGTTTTCCAAAAGGTTCTTTTTGTTCTGATTGACAACAAGTCGAGATAGCTCAAGAGACTCGTAAGCATTGAGCTTCCCCCGAGTTAGCAATGTGCCAAAGTACTGCAAGAGTGGAGGCGTTTGCCCAGCTTGAACAGGAACACTCTGCATTTAAAAGCACAGAAACGAAAAAGCTAAGTCAAGCAGAAGAGCATAAGCATTAAGATTAGTTGTACAGTCCCAACACAGGAAAGTAAATGAAAATAATAATGGTAATGCATTCACTATGTTTGAAGCATTTATCAAATAAAACCTCAAGAAAGTAACGGTAAGTAGTTACCAGGTGTTTCCATTAGGAACATTTTTTTTATTCATAAAGCCCAATGATTTTATAAAGAAGTCACCATAGTAGTCGCATTGCTGAAATTGCTATGGTAAGAGTCACACTAATCTCTATAATCTAGGGCCAGCATAGTAAACATGCTGCATCATCCATCAGTTCACATAATTTTAAGCTTTTAACAGTACAGAATGTGAAAAATAGCTGTAAAATGGAGGTAAAGAAGTGTTAATAGCTCTGTAATCAAGAGCAGAAATGCACCTGAAATTTTGCAACAGTCTCAGGAGTTCGGAGAAGACCTTGAGGAGATTCTGCAGCCAACTCAGCTGCTTCCTTGTATTTTGTTTGTGCAAACAATTCTTGAAACCTTTGCACAACCTGCAATATAAAGCATTAAACTCGCTATCATATCTTGCAGGAAAATATATGCCACTGATAAAACCAGCATAGGTAACAAGCGTAAATTGCGATTGTAACAGCATCACAACAAAAGCATAGAAGTAATGGAACTTACTAAGTTCTCTGCCCCAGGAAGATTAGCTCTTTTGGCAAGATTTACAGCTAGTTCAAGGTTATTTAACTGCATAAAACAAAATGTGTTAAAAACGATAATAGCAAGCACATAAGCCAAGTAATTTAAGAGCAGGAGAACATACTTGACTGCTGACAAAAGGCACAATGGTTGCATCATTAACTGTGGCATGTAAAACCTGTCCTCTCCTATTGATGGCATAAAAACCACCACTTGCAGAAGACTCTGCTGTCAAGAATATAGGATCTGGACTAATTCTATTTCTATAGACCGCTGCAGCTGTTTCCAAGTCATATACAAATAAAAGGCCAAGCTTCGTAATTACATAGATAAGGCCATACTTCTGAGAGATCTGTAATTGACAGAAAATTAAAAAAAATAAGATCTATGCGGTATCTAACATGGTATACTTCCTTTAGAGTGCAAGATATTCACCTGCATGGCCACAGGAAAATCATCCTGAAAATCTGGGGGGAAGAAAAGATCAGCTTGCTTCTTGGAAAACCCTGGTTTCCCTGAAATAAATGATAGGAAGAACGAGTGAACAGAGGAATGATTTATCCATGAACATTTATTCACTGTTAATGGCCTACAAGGAGAAGAATGGGGTGGAATATAGAACCATTTGCAGAATAGCACTGACTACACTAAATGACAAATGTGTGTTTGATAAAAGGCATTCTACTTATTTCTTACTCTGCTAGAAACTTGAAAATAGAAACAAAACAAATCTTGAAAATTTCCAGAGACAAACCTGGCTGGGCACCCAATTCAATAACATGCAACTTAGAAGTGATCTGCCCAGCATTAGTTGTCTTTGAGGCAAAGCAGATGAGAGTTGAAGGGTTCTCGTTGCCCACGACCTGTGGAGGAAAAATAAAAGGAAAATTTGGCAAATAGTAGAACAAAGAATATGTAACCAGCACAAATATAACTGGAGTACCGGACATTACCTTAAATGATGCAAAGGATGCTGCATGGGCTTCAAGTGCCTGACTACGTTGCTGATCCACAGAAAAAAGTTGCATATTTCCCTTCACCAGTTGTGGCCTCTGATGGGTGAAAAAGAGAGCACATCAATGTTAGGATGATATAGAACAAAGCATTACGTAATAAACTTTTAAAAACTGTTCCAGCATAGGTGTAGCATATTTCCTACAACTTTCGAAAATATATGTAGTCTTTTACACTATGCCCAAAAGGATTTTGATCTTTACACCATTGCAGCCTGTCATATCGGCACTTATTAACAAACATACCTCTGGAGCACCAGGTGCAATTCCAATAAGCACAAGCCACTTCTCAGATGGATCACATCGATAGTTGATAATTTGATTGTTGGCCAAATTAGCCGTCCTATCGAACATCTTGGCCGGTTCAGAATCTCCTGTATTACAACAAATACATGCAAAAATTACAACAAATACATGCAAAAAAAATCATTGGTTTGTATGGATATGATCCAAATAATGCAAAGCAGCGAATAATAATTGGACAAAAGTTCAGATCAATAGTTCAATACCCTCAATTGACCAGTGATAAACTGATGTTTGTGTTACCAAACCCAACAACTTTGGGGTGATCCATTTCCAAAACACAACCTGTGATTGTGAAAAGAAAATAAAATATGCAAAGAATACATTAAGATTATAGGATACAATTTAAACAAAGTGGTTACGCATACTTTGGCAAAACTTCAAATTTTGTACCTGCTCAGGCATCTGGTGGGACTTAATTTTTGTTTTAGCCTCAATGTTGAAGATTTGCAGGTGATCCTGTGTTGTCCCAGGTATTTGAGCTGCAAATTCCAGCAACAAAAAAAAGTTAAACAGCTGGTAGGTTGCAAAAGTAAAGACATATCATTCTGCTTCTACGTAAGCAATTAGTAAGCTAGCCAGACACCATGATGTCAATGTATAAACTAGGCATTTTAAATTGAATGTTGAATGTCAGACAAACACTGGTGATGGTAAACATTAGAAAAGTTTATTGCCAGTATGAATCCAATCTGAAGCAACCTAAAACTAGACATACAAAAGCATGAAGCATGAACAAATCGTGACAATGGTATGAAACAGTATAACAAGTGAACAATTGCCTGGAGAGGATATATTATAAACATCAAGTGCAAGACCAGATGATCTGTACGTCATGTATTCAATTAGGAAGAACAGCGTAGAAATATCCATGTAAGCCCAATCCGAGGTTAAAACTAAGCTTAACTTATGGAGTTATGGGAGAATAAGTTGATGTTGTGGCCATGGTTACAAATATAAGCGAAAACCGAAATGATAGTCGACTCCTAGTCAGTAGCAACTAGCAAGGGCATGGAAACTGTGACTAGGAATGAGCAGCATGAGAATATGAAAACTGTTGGTTTACTATGGAGTAAGTATTCTTGAAGTTGTAAAATGCACAATTGATCGAGATTCATCGTGAATTTTTAGATAAATAATTTGTCATGAAGCTAAATAATTTGTCAGTCCTTAACATATCGTTACTGGAAATTATACATGTGCGCAAAATTATAGAGGTAAACCACCATTAGCATACACATTTCTGACGAATTGAACAAGATGAAGCAAATGGTAAGAATAACAGTATGGTTTCCAGCTATGGTAGGATGGATGGCAAAATGAATGTGCTAGGAAGTACTAGATCCCAATCTAAACTTGGGTGGCTCCTTGAATTAAGCAAATAGTGGAAATATTAGGGAGTAGAAGAGTAGATCGCTAGGAAATAAGTGAGATCAGAAAGAGTAGATAGCAGGTAGATCTAGGTAGGAAGGAACCTTTGAGGGCGAGGATGCGGGTGTTGGGGTTCATGAGGGCGGAGTCGGCGGTGATGGGCCTGCGGAGGGGCTGCGCGGGCATGGCCATGTCGACGATGACGACGCTGTTCTGCGGGGAGGTCTCGCGGACGCAGATGTATTTCTCCGACTCCATGGTGACGTGGGTGAAGGTGACGAACTGGGGCGCGATCCCCAGGCTGGTGAGCTGCATCGAGCGAGGAGAAGAGAGACGAGTCAGGCGCCATTAGCTCCGCCTTGGTTACGGGGGAGATCTCGCGGGAGGAGTGGGTAGGAGTAAGAAGAGAAGAAGATACCGTGAGGGCCTCGCGCATGGCGATGGGGGCGTTGGCCGCCGCCATGGCGAGAGACGGCCGGCGGTGAGATCCCCTCTAGAGCGACGGGGAGGAAGAAGGCGGCAGGTCGTGAGTCGTGACACCCCAAACCAAGAGAAGAGAATGAGAAGAGAGATCGGATCTGAGGACGAAGCAGATGAAAGAAAGAAAGGAAGGAGGAGGCACCCCAACCCAATTTAGTGGCTGCCTGCTTGGCTTCTCTATTGCTTTGCAACAAGGCTACAAATGGCCTCTTTTCCTTAATAACCCCCCATTATCTCTGTATTCACTCTCTCACCCACTAAGCAACTTTACTCCCATCAATTTTATTATTACTAACACAGGTTTACTTGTGATGACATAAATCACCCTTAACTACTTCACACTCAAGTTATTAGTTTCCTAAAAGCATCTCAAAGGGATTTCGTACATTTTCACAGCAACATCTCCCCCAAAACTGTTGTGCTCTCCAACCCACTCTTCAAATCTTACCGTCTATATTTTGGGCTTGTTTAGTTGGCAAAAAAATTTACCCATGTATGTTACATCGGATATACAGACACACATTTAAAGTATTAAACGTAATCTAATAACAAAATAAATTACATACTTCTAGGAATCTGTGAGACGAATTAATTAAGCCTAATTAATCCATCATTACCAAATGTTTACTGTAGCACCGCATTGTCAATCATGGCGCAATCAGGCTTTAAAGATTTGTCTCGCAAAGTCCTGGCGAACTGTGTAATTGGTTTTTTTCTACATTTAATACTCCATACATGTGTCCAAACATTCGAAGTGACAACGTGAGAAATTTTGTTTGGGAACTAAACATGCCCTTAACTTTCTCATCTAAAGTTATTATAATATGAAACTCATGGTCAAAGGTCAAAAGTTTTGGTGCCTCTTGTATAGTTAACTAAATGTTGTCCAAGCTAGATTGTTTAATTTATTTAAGGGGTGATATACTACCATCAATAATATTTAGAGTTGCCCCGTCACTATTGATGTAGCCAACTAAATATTGTCCAAGCTAGATTTCTTTTGTGCTAAATGGTTGATTGGATGGATGATTTGTGATAATTATAAATTTTACAAACGAACAAATTAACTATTATAAAGTTAAAAATAGTGTTTAAATGGTTTTCTAAAAAGTTCATATATAGAAAGTTTTTTTCAAAGTCACATTGTCTAAGGGTTCGAAAATCATGCATATTTATCTATAAATCCGTTAAGAATAAAAGAACAGAGAAAAAAGTTTGTTTCAAAATGATTTGTGCCTAATAACACCTAGCGGCCCATAGTTTCACCTATGCTTTCTTATCCGTATGGCTTATTAGCAAGCAAAAAATAAGAGAGTAAAACTTTTATATGCATAAATTTAACGATTAAAAGCAAATGATGTAAAATAAACTAAATTTTGGTTTATAAGCATATGTATAAGAGTCTAATTGTTTAGGTTTAGACTTTTAAATCAGTTTTTTTAGTTTATATAATTTATAAGCAAATAGATTTGAAATCCTTAGTTTAGTGGTAGAGTTATATCTCTATCTCACATAAGCCAAAAAACTTTCCCAACATAGCTTTTGGCTTAATAGTGTTAGTGTAAAGTGACTTATGGTTTTTAAAAAGCCAAACGAAAAAAACACTTATGTATTTAGGCTTAGACTTTTCGGCTTGTAAGTGCTTATATGCCTTAAAAAAAGAGCATGACGCTGCTATGCTCTTCAACTAGCCAACTACCATTAGAGGGCAATTTGCAAATACCAACATTTAAGGGTGCTCCACTGCAAAGGTAGTATTCGTACAACATGGGAGTTGGCCTCATCTTGTTTTAGCACTACTACTGCTACTTCACTTAGATCTGATAACACTTATCAGAGCAAATCTCAGCCGCATAAGGTGAAGCTGAGCTGTTAAGCCCATGTGAACGTAGGTATGATCTGGAAAGAGATGCAGGCAGGCTGCTGCGAGTTGTTGCATATAGAGCAACGAAAATGCATTAGGAGAACTTTGTTTTGAGGTTGACTGTTTCTTTTCTTGCGAGTTAGTTAAACTCTCCGGGTTAAAAATACATTAGACTTGCTAAGATCGCTAATGGCAACTGATAAGTTAGGAGTTAGCTGACTCCAAGATAAGAGATTTATCGTCTCGTTGTAGGTGATTTCTTCGGTTAACTGAAATGAGTAATTTCTGAGACAAGATTTCTCGATGAACTTCAGAATACATAAAAGATTTCTCAAGGAGCTATATTTTTCTCAGGAGCTGGATCGACGTGAAATTAATTATTTTCATGAGTGAATACATGGAAGTTAAGGTGGCGTGCATGGACACATATGGCCCAAATACATAAGGAAGGCCATCTGAGCCATATCACACCGGCTGCTCTTCTCAGACAGCATCACGCCATCAACACATAATAACAAATTGATCTCAGATTAATCACTGTGCCCCCCCTGTATATATGTATCGGCAGCTATTTCACAGTCCAGAGTACCATGTGTCTACAACAGTGCTGTTTGCTCAATTGGTTAGCTCAAAACTAATTTACAATTCAATTGAACGATTTTACATGCCATCAGTAAACAGCCCACTCCATCCTTTTTCTCTCTATAGCTTGATTTTCTTCACCAAACTACCAAAAAAATTGAATAGTAATGGTACATTTCCTATATAGTATACGATGGGGCAAAAAAAAATCATGCTCCCTGCTTCTCATTGTGGAGGGAGAGGGGGATGTGGGGATGGAGGGGAGGATTTGGAGAGGATCCTGGTGTAAAGTATCTGGTTCCAGACGTCTGGTACCCCAGGAAGGCACCAATGGATGCAGTCAGCGTACTTCTGTGGGTCAGCCTTCTGCTCCGGTGTCAACAGTTTACCTTGACGGATGGAATACAATGATGTGTGGGCATCCTTCCTGTAATCTGACATCCTTGTGATGTCGATCAACGACACTGGAACATTCTTCATGTTTTTAGCAACTTTTGCTACCAGGTCGTACATACGCATGTCGTGGTTGAGATCCAGTGGCTTGGTGTAGTTGAGGACTGGAAGTGTCTCCTTTACACATTTGATCCCGTTCGGGTTCCCCCATTGTGCTGGGCTGTTTTTAAGATAGCATCACAAGAGGGGAAAAATGCTTCAGCGATGTAAATAAATTAGAAATGCATGTACCATAATGTTAATTCAAGAGCAGATATGATTGGTTCAATACAACAACAAACAGTAGCTGGTCTTTTGCTGACACAAACACACAATCAATTTAAATTCTATCCATAATTTCAACTGGTACATGAGTGCATCAGAATGTAAATATCCCGACATGTCAGGAGAGCAACTTGATTTATAAGCAACTGTGCTCAAATCATTTGCAAATCAATATATGTATAAATGATGTGGAATAAAATTAAAGCCTAAAGCACCAAATGATGTCTGCTTTATCTCATGGTTGAAAGGATTAGGGTCAGGATGTCAGATGAAGATGAAATATTACTATTATTTGACACCGATAATAACTTCACAAAATATACTAGTAGTACACATAGTACTTTGCTTTGCACAGGTCATGACGCACAAGACTCACAACCACCTCACACGATGCCTATATTTTAGTATATTCCACAGTTCCAGACTTCCAGTAGCACTAACTTCAACAGTAAGGTGGTTTTAAAATGTCTTAGCAATGGATCTGAACAGAGTGCGACTATGAAGCTCACTGCAGGGCTCGTCTATATTAAATTGGCAAAAGGTGATGACAGCATCAGTGTTGAACCAACGGCCACCTATACCGATCTTACTACTGCAAACATCAGATTTTGACATCAAAGAGCATACATGAGAGTTTCATGTTACTGTTTATATAGAATCTACTACCACAGCTTCTTTTTTCTGGCTGGTCTAGGTGACATCGACATAGACTAATCTTTCTATGTAAATTCTCCTAGCAAAAGCATCAGAGTTTTGTTGGAAGTAACACTCCCCCAAATTTTTTGCCATCTACCAACTACCAACCTAACTCAAAAGATTGCAAATTCAACTTTCCAAAAATGGCTACCCAATACATGTACTCCATCCGTTTCATATTATAGGTCATTTTGATTTTTTCTTAGTCAAACTTCTTTAAGTTTGACCAAATTGTAGAAAAATTTAGCAAAATTTACAACACCAAATTAGTTTTATTAAATGAAACATTAAATATATTTTGATAATATGTTTATTTTGTATTAAAGATGTTGCTACATTTTTCTATAAACTTGATTAAACTTAAAAAAGTTTGACTAGAAAAGAAGTCAAAGCAACTTATAATATGAAACAGAGGGAGTATCAAACAAAGACTTATTTAAGAAGCATATTAAGCCTATTTTTACACTGCATTTAGTTTTGCAGATCATTATTCTTAACAGTAGAAACTCTTCTTTCAGGCAAAGCCAATATCAATATTTTTTAATAGTGAGATTTGTGTATGTGGGTATGGTAGTTATCCACATCATTGCAGTTTCTCTGAGATTGGTGAACAGTTTCCTTGAGGTACAACATTTCGAACATTACGTCGTTTTATGTTTGCTGAAAATTGTCTTGTCAAAATGGGCCAGAATCACTAAAGCATGCAAAATCTTGTAGGCTATACTGTGCCTATCCCAAATGTTCCATTTGAAATTTAAATTGCTTGCCCACACCCACAAGCACAGAAGCATTTTTGTTTGAAGAAACCATGAAAACTCACTAAAAGAATCACCAAGGGTGCACTCCCAGTCTATATATATGTGTGTCTATATACAATATAAGAACCCAACAAATTTCTTGGTGGACCATCTGGTACAACAACAAAAGGAGGGTTGTTTTCACATGGGTGCGTGCATAGTGTGATGGAATGGTGTGGCACCTTGTGCTTCACAAGCAACAAACCAGAAAAGAACAAAGAGCCTTTGAGAATCACACAAAACAAGAAATAATACTAGTGGTTCCAAACTAAAGTACTTAAAATTGGTTCACTTGTTCTTAAATATTTGGAAATAATATATATAAAAGGTGAGGAATGAGGTGCGTTAATCCAGTAAGTTCATAGCACCACGCCTTCTGATTTCAGACATTGGTATGTTCCGAAGTAACTAGTTTGTGCATAGCACCATACTTTCTGTCATTCTGATGCATATACGGATACAGGAGTGATTATTCCAAGACCTACTAGTGAACTAGTGTGGAATTATTCCAAGACCAACTAGTGAACTATGGAATTTGAAAGACTCTAAAACCCCAGAAAGTCAGGCAAATTTGTTCCTAGTTTATCACGTGCAAACCTAACAAACGGGTCCAACTGACCTCATTTTCTGGTGGACAATGACATAGTGGCTGTGCTCTGCAGACTGGAACAAGAGGAAGCTTGCTTGTACAGAACGTAATTAGGAGTAACAAACCACTTTATCAGGGATAGGTAGGGTGTCCTATTGCAAACCGACAGTGGTCCACAACATTAAAGATTTCAAGGTTACCAAATTAAGTTTTCCTAGGCCCTGCCCTGGAGGAACTAATTGATGTTCGTAACGAACCGCCATTGCTTGAACTAGAGAGGAAGTAGAGAGGAGGTAAGAGATAGAGAAATCAGAAATGCAAGTTTTATGATCACCTGTTGTGAAGAGGAGAAATTGTCATGAAGAACACCGAAGTCCTGGCAGGATCAACATTCTGTTCCAGCCAGGTCGACCAAGTCTTGAACACACGGCCATAGGTCTCGATCCTTGGCACCTCGTCGTGATCTGACCAAGAAGTTGAATTTGGCCTCCTGCAAAAATAAAAAAAAAATGAAAGAAATTTTAAACACACTAGAAATCCCAGCTAAACTAAAAATTGGTTAAATGAAGTAGTAACATCAAAGTTGGTGGGTACAGACCTGACTTTGATGTCTTCGTTGTTCATCCACCAGATGTAGGTGTTGAAGATGAGGTAATCAACGTCCTTCCAGTTGTTGGCATGGCTCTCGATCCGCTCAGGGCTGATGATGCGCTGGTCGATGTGGTGGAAATTGGGGTTGTCGGAGTTGGACTCGACGAGGAATGGAGCCCAGTAGAACTCGAGGGTGGCGCGATACTCCTTGGCGTAGAAGATGTTGAAGGAACCGCGCTTGACGATCTTCTTCCTGCCCTTGGATAGGATGGGCTGCACCAGGCACACCAGCGACTCCCACTGGTTCCGATTCAGCGAGTCCCCCACGAACATCATCCTCTTCCCCCGCATCTTCTCCATGAACCGCCGCGCGTCGAACCTGCAATCGAATCAACTCAAATCGATCCATCTGGAAGAAATGAAATGGCAGATCTAGAACTAGAAGGAATGGGAAGTACGTGGGGAGCGAGCAGTTGTTGGGTTGCCAGCGCCAGTACTGCCATAGGTCGTCGGGGCGGCCATTGGCGAGGCAGGAGACCTGCTTGGTGAGGAAGGTGCATTCCTTCTCCCTGTAGGCCGGGAGGGAGGTGTTGTCGAATACCCATCGGCCGCGGGAGAGGTCGCAGGTGGGCGGGGGGAGGAGGAGAGGGGGAAGGGCGGAGACGTTGTAGAAATCGGCGTCGGGATAGAGGTAGTCGTCGATGGAGAGCTCGGCGAGGGTGCGGACGTCCTCGCCGTACATGAAGAGGGCGAGGAGGAAGAAGGCGGCGACGAGGGTGGTGACCGGGGAGCGGCGCAGCGCGGAGAGGAGGGAGCGGGAGGAGGAGGCGAGAGAGTGGAGGCGGAGAGGGAGCTTAGCTAAAGAGGAGGAGGAGGAGGAGGCGGGGGGCGGAGTGGAGGGCGGTGGTGGAGGAGGTGAGGTGGTGGTGGTGGCTGTGGTGGAAGGGGGCGATTGCTGCTGTGGCTTGGTCATGGCGACGGCGGCCAGACTCGCCCCCTTCCTTCCTCGAGAAGGCTCACTCAATTGCGCGCGGCGGCTCTCCGACGAGTCCGGCCGGAGTATTTGAAGGGGATCGGAGGGGAAGTTTGGTGTTCTTCGGCTCGGGAGGTTTGGTAGCGTTGGAGGGGGACTGTTGTTGACTTTGACAAGAACGAACGAGAGAGACTCCGTAGTGCACACTACTCTAGTAAACCTAACATTTAGCCCTACTAATTGCTTAACAAATTTTGCTATAGAAAATAGCTTTAGGTTTTTATAAAATGACTTTACCCTTGGACCAAAGCATAAGTTATATTACTCCCTCCGTTTCACAATGTAAGTCATTCTAACATTTTCCACATTCATACGGATGTTAATGAATCTAGATAAGTCATTCTAACATTTTCCACATTCATACGGATGTTAATAAATCTAGACATATATATCTATCTAGATTCATTAACATCCGTATGAATGTGGAAAATGTTAGAATGACTTACATTGTGAAACGAAGGAAGTAGATAATAACCAAGCTGTGTAAATCTATCACTCGTTCGAATCATGTCACCGTTATTACAACCAAACTCAACCAAGGTTGTCAGGATCGGGATACTAGGTAGTATCGTTTTGCTCAAAGTAATATCGTATCGTAGGATCGTATCGTAGTATCGGGATACTATGAGATTTTCTTTTTTTAAGTTTAATTAATATTTATATTAATTATATGTAGCCATTCTATATAAACAAATGGTAGTAATGATATATGTCATGCAAATAGAGTCATTTATTAAGAGAAACCATGTTGGTCTGATATATTTAACTGATTTTTATATAAATTTGAGCATATTTATTTACATTATTTTCATACCATGTTATTTTAAATAATATTTTGTAGTATCGTAGAAATCGTAGAATCGGGATACCATCTAAGATTTCGTAGGATCGTGTACTAATGAATAGTAGGATCGAGATACTATGAAAATTAGGATACTAGGTAGGATCGGTATCGTTTCGTCTTGGTAGGATCATAGTATCGCAAGATACTAGGATACGTATCGGGATACTGACAACCTTGAAGTCAACCAATGAGAATAGTACCACACCTTCGACAAGGTTGACATATGGAATATTACCATCACAACTTCAAACATCCGAAATAAGGATTTTACCCGGAGAGTATGCTTCGAGACACAAATGAGAAAAAGGGTGTCACAACATCGCATCCAAGATGATGTGTGACACGGCATCATCAATATCGGTGCTCAAGTCACCTCGTGAATGGTCAGATCTAGATGGTGGATGCCACCAGTCAAGATCCAAATGTAGAGGTCATTGGTCCACCAATACCGTCGCCGTCCTCTTGCCTCACGTGCCCGCCGTTGTCCTTCTGCCTCATGGTGCCACCCCTCACCTCTTCCTGCCATGTTATGGGAGTGGACTTTTAGAGTTAGACGATACCGCAGTCACCACCGACACCGACTAGAAACTGGATCCCCGTCATCTTCTTTATCAAGAGCCACTGGATTACTATCTTAGTATAGCAATAAGCTAAAGTCACATAAATAAATAGATTTCAGAAACTCATAAAGCCTTTGTAAATAGGTTTTTTAAGCATTCTTTTAAGAAATCGAACTGAATTATATATAAACAAATTATGCATTTTAAATAATAAGAAGCCCTAAACGATGTGGGTTTCTATGAAGATACAGACGAGGAGCCATAATAATTTTCAGGTGAAGTTACGAAGGGACCATTTATAAAACATTTCCAGTACAAACTACAATATACTGATATGAGCTTATATATGTTTTCGAAAATGAAGTTTGTTGGGATACGCGTAGGCTACGATAGTATAAATCAAAATTTTCTATCGCATAAACCAGGAACCATGCAAGTATTAGATCATAGATCATTACCACTCGACGCGCTGCGCAGCAGAAGAAGACGCTGAGAAGTCAAAAGAACTCTCGTGAAGTAGCGCGCGTCGATGTAGAGAAAGTAGTCGATCGCACCGGCTCGACCTTCTCCTCCTCGTGCGTTCTCCTTGCCGTAATCCCACGCCGATCAGCACCGCAAACCAGCGGCGCCTCTACCGGTATCCACACGTACAGGGACGGAACGCCACGCGCAGATGTGCTAACACCCGCGCGCGGCTAGGGTTTTGCTCGGGGAGGGGAGTGATGACTAGGGTTTCTCACGTGATGCAATACCTCCTCCTATCACACCCCTCACGAATATATAGGATCCATCACTCGGGCCTCCAAGGCCCGTAGGACTCCTATTCGGATCCCTATCCGAATTAAGCTCATATTGGATCCCCATCCAATCCCCTTATTCCGGCCCATTAAGCGTGCGACCCTGTAGGTTCATGTACACTCGGCTGTAACCCGAAAACTCCTTTTCAGTCCACGCGTCAACAGCGGCCCCTAGCAGAGCATATTGACCCACCGGGCATACATAAAGATCATATCGGCCGAATCTCTAGTGTATACTTGTATGAACCCCTTTGCCTCATGATATCGATTAAGCTCAAGGCTAGATATGTGCCATCATCTAGTAGCTCAATCATTCACTCGAACCTGTTGATAGATTATATAACTTGTGATTGACTCCTCAATCACCTTTAGCATGGCCATGCACTTCCATAATCTACAACATCGAGGGGCCCAGAGATATCTCTCCATAGGAGGGGCAAATCCTATCTTGATTATTCATATCCCACTACATGTTTCATAGCATACCCGAAAACTACTTTTATAACTACCCAATTACGGAGTAGCGTTTAGCGGTCCCTAAGTAAGCTACTACACAAGTTGGGAACCATGACAATATCAGGTTTAAGGATTCAACACCACCACTAAATAAGATCACTGATGACAAAACACATATGGCTCTTGCAGTGTCTCATGTTGGGTCTATCCAACAACATGTTCACCAACATGTGTCCATATTATTAATTTGGTATCTCTATACCATGATCCATGAGACATGATCATCAACTAATACATGTGCTGATCATCTAAACATATTTGTTCCACATATGATATTTGATTAGGGATCCTTTAGAAATAGCAACACACAACATAAAGAGTCTCACGAAAGAATCACATATTCATTAACCAATAATGAGTTATCTATTTCAAGGAACAAAATTGGATAAATATGTAAACATAGTATGTGATATAATCATCTCTATGATTGCCTCTAGGGTATATCACGTATATCACTAACAGTTATCAATAGTTCTATAAAAAATGCAGTGCGCAACGCTTTCTGGTTGCAACCACATCCACCTGTGTCTTTGTGGAGCCTCCCTTCCAGCCGTTTCTTCCTTCCTTATTCCTTCCAATAATAATATTATTTCTTCGCTAGCTTGTGCTACCTCCATATTTTAATGTATGACGCCGTTGACTTTTGGTCCAATGTTTGACCATTCGTCTTAGTCTAAATTTAAATATTTATGTAATTATCATTTATTTTATTATGACTTGATTCGTCATCAAATGTTCTTTAAGCATGACATAAATATTTTTATATTTACACAAAAATTTTGAATAAAACGAATGATCAAACGTTGATCGAAAAGTCAACAGCGTCATACATTAAAATACGGAGGGAGTAGCTTATACATATGGTAACATCATGCATGATATGTATACTATACGCATGTTTGGTGATTAACTACCGTTTCTGGTAGTTGCTGCCTCCCTTCTTCTTAAAAAAGATTTCATAAACATGGGATAGATAGGAATGCGATGGGATCATGGGACCCTGGCCAGATCCGATCGATCGAACTCATGCAAGTTTTGTTAGCCTGATATACCCTCGATTTTACCTCGATATAACTATTCTGTATATGAGATTTTCGTGTATTTTGTATCTTGGTCGATATGATCGAGCTCTTTTATGGTCCTGATGTAGTGTTGTGTACGTATCAGTTGTCCAAAATAGCCTTTTAACCCTTTACACGATCATGTATTATTGTCAATGAAGTACTACTAACTACATGATATACTATGGTAAAGTAAACCATATGAACCTCCTGCTCCCAGGTCTAAGACATTCACATAGTTTTCAATGTACGTATTTATTATATATTTAAAAAAAGAAAACCACATAAGAGTGTTCTAGCTTCACGACTACCACCAATACCATTATCACATATTAAAGTAAATTGCTACACATACGTCTGGTATGTACGACTTACGTTCAACCTGTACTTGTTACCTGCCCTGGCTCACGAAGAGAAGCTTGCTCGTACAGAGTGAATTCATTGACAAATGATGTCGGTGATATGGGCCCGGGGTATCAGGACCATAGGGAGGAGGCTGCCCTCGGTAGCCACATGGCCCTCCCTCGAGGGGGGTCGGGCCCGAGGCAGGGCGGCGGCCGCCCCCTCCTTGACTGGGTGTCGGGTGTGCCGCGTGTGTTGGGTTGGGTGGGCGCCCCCAGCACCCACCTAACCGCATTTAAGGCAGTGTGAGCGAGCACACCGCGTCGCATAAATGCGGCGCGTGGTGCGCCTGACGACTGGTCGCACCGATGAGGTCGGGGTAGTGCGCCTGCGCACTGGTTGCATGTCAGGCGGCGTGCCGCCTGACACCCCCCGTCACATCGTGATGATGAGAGGCTGCTCACAGCCGGAGACGGTTTACCTAACCCGGTCAGGGTAGGGTTTCCGTTTCACGGCACAAGAGAGGACCCCAAAAGTCTTCACTCATTAAATATCGAATGACATGCATGTCCCTTGTGTCAGCCGGAGCCCGGATGGATTTGACGGGCCCCACGCCGCGGCAAGGCGTGCAAGAGACTTCTAAGGCAAGCAACAAGACATGCATTTAATGTGATTATCCTCCCTGAATAGGCTATGTGGACCCATGTGGTAACCCCTTAAGATATAAAAGGAGGTCCAAGCCTACTTAGGGAGGGGATGGGCCCTTTTTCACTAGAGCAGTCTCATGCCCCTCATCATCAACATCTTCTACTCCAACAAGGAGATCTTGTAATTTCTCCCACAATCAGCATAGCACAGGAGTAGGGTATTGCGCTTCTCAGCGGCCCGAACATGTATAAACCACTTTTGTCTCATCGTTCTCGAGGGGCCCGACCCCTTCTACATCACACAGCCTCACTCGCTGAGTCCTCGAATCTCACCCGTTGCCCCAGGCCAAACCAACAAGGGGGGCCTCACTGTCCCCCGCTTGAGAAGTTCACCCTCCAACAGATGAGGTTGGGTCCGACAGGGGTTGGACAACGGGGGTCGGATGTATAACAATACTCCATATTAAAGCATGAGAGTATGAGATGTCGATGTCACAGTAGGTAAATCACTAAATGTGAAAGAGATGTTCCATCTGAGGCTCAAGCTTAAACTAATCAACATTATTCCACTCTGCTAATTAAGAGAAGATGTCAATCGTTAGCAAAGTTTGTTGTGGATGACATCTCGCTGTCCAGTTTTCTCGCGGAATGCAGCTTCTGCTTTATTAATTCATCATTTCTTCGTACTACTACTCCTACCAGCTAGAGCAAACGACTAAGACCCTATTTGAATGGGACTAAAAACTTTTAGTCCATGTCACATTGTATATTTGGACACTAATTAAAAGTATTAAACGTAGACTATTAACAAAACTCATTCCATAACCTTAGACTAATTCGCGAGACGAATATATTGAGCCTAATTAATCCATAATTAGCCTATGTGATGCTACAATAAACATGTGCTAATTATAGATTAATTAGGCTTAAAAAATTTATCTCACGAATTAGCTCTCATTTATGTAATTAGTTTTGTAAGTAGTCTATGTTTAATACTCTAAATTAGTGTCAAACATCCGATGTGACAGGTACTAAAGTTTAGTCCCTATATCTAAACACCCCCTAAATCATCAACTCCTTTTTCTTTCAGGACGCAACCCCCATATATCACTTGCAAGCTTAATTACTTGATGATTGGATTTTTTTTAGGGCAATTGATTGGATTATTAATAGAGCATATGGTTTATTAGCACAGAAATTTTCAACAAGATAGAGATGCAAAACATTCCTTATATGATAAATCAAAAAAAAAAAGAGACAATCAATAGATAGATAGACAGATAGATAGATATTCATGTAGGCCAGAAATAGTTCTGGATGGAGACATATGGTGATCATCTATGCATTAAGCAGCAGGAAAAAAGAATCCAATTTAGCTCCCTCAAATATAGGTCGGATTTAATTCGTATCAATCAACCGTAATACCGAGTATAATGACTCCTATAACTATTAAAACCGTTCTAAACAATTGCCTCGACCGTATTGACAGTAGTTTTCGCTGATGCGTCGCATTGACCTGGTCTTCGTTGCCTCTACGTGGCATTACAATCAAGAAAGAAAATAAATATGGGACCCAAAGGTCACTGGCCACTTCTTCTTTCTCTCCTCTCTCTCCCCAATCGAGCTCCCATTGAGTGGGTTAGCGGGATGGAGAAGTAGGCGGGCACAACTTACCTTCAGCCCCCTGAAGATGTTGTCCATGCTCTAGAATCTATCGTTGCTGTTGCAGCGGCAAAGTGGTGGTACTACACCTCGCCAGCGGCGGTGCAAGGGCAAGCGGCGGCGGCACATGGTGGTGGAGTAGGAGGTTTGGTAATCTAGGCATCTGAAAATCTGGGAGCATGGCGGCGCAAGAGCAAGATCGTCATCGCTTTGGTTGGTTCATCTTCTAGTCTATATATTGGTTGGGGCCTTTTCTCCTTTTGCAAATTCTCCGAAAAGATCAAAACTTGAGAGCAGAATTATATCCAAGGACTAATTGAATTAACACAAAATGAATAGTAATTAATCCCTGTGTTGTACCAACTGGATCCCCAAAGAGGGCAGAGATGGAGCAAACCCAACTAATTCTGAAGATGCAGAAATGGAATCAATCGAGCAATGAAACACTAGTAATGTCTATCAAGTTGAGCAGCACATGATGTTTTTGGCTGCATCAGTTAAGCTCATGATATTGGGTTGGGCGCCATCCCATCCAATTAATCTGCAGTAGAGACGTATGAATGAAGACGTATGAATGAATCAGCTAAGAGGGAAAAAAAGAAGGTAAAGAAAAGCAGAGAAGGTACCAATAAGTGGATGGACAACATAAGGGAAGAGGAGTCGACGACGAAGTAGTAGTGGAGCATAAGCTCGGCGGTTGGTGAGCTCATTGTCGGCCCTATCGTGGCGGCACAACTTAGCCTGCAACTCAACTCGTCGTCGCTGTATGTGTGCGCTCTCGTTATGCGCCGGTGTTGGGGCAGACCAAGTAGACCACCTGTCAAACCCCTCCTCCTCTGGCTTCCTCCTACATCGCCGGTGGCGGCTGTGGCGTCTGTTGCTGCTGCCAAGAACACGAAGGCCACAATTTTTTTCTTTCATTTTTCTCCCTTGCCACTAAAATGTGGTCCCAAGTTTATTTTTTTAATATCTTTTGATGACTGGGCTGTCATATGAACGTCACGTCAATAAAAATACAGCCATTTAAACAGTTTTAATAGTTGGAGAAATCATGATGGCTGGTATTACAGTTGAGGAATATGACATATCAAATCCCAACTATACTTAAAGGACTTAGGGCCTGTTCACTTTGATGCCAAAAAAAACTTTACCAAATTTTGGCAATGCCAAAATTTTGGTAACTTGCCAAAATTTTGGCAGGATTTCTTATATAGTTACCAAAATTTGGCAGCAAACTAAATGTAGCCACTTTTTTGGTAACTTTACTAAAACTTGGTAAGGTTGAAAATTGTATCAAAGTGAACAGCCCTTAAAGTGGACTTTTTTCTTGAGGAGCCGTATATATCCCTTGGGCCTTTCTCGTCGTGAATTGATATGGCCTCATCAACTTGGGCCTACATGGTGGTCCATATCTCTTATAACGAATTCTGGGCATGTTCTCGTGCATTTAGCCCCTCCACGTGGCGCACTCCGATAGCAGGATTTCTCAAAACAAATAACGCACCACGTCATCAACTAAATATGGACCGTCAGATTTCTCCTCTGGATTGTTACAGCCCATCAGATATTCTAACTGGCAAAATATCTTTTTAATCCTTCTAGAAATTTATTTTTCAACAAGGTCCTCCCACATCCCTAAAAAGAAAAATCGCGATTCCTCTCGTCGAGTCACGATGCCTCCGCTCCCGAGATCGACGCCCCGCCTCCTTCCCTCCTGGTCGCTGACGCCGCCTCACTGGCTCCCCGCCACCGCCACCTCCCATTCGCCGTCCGTAGCGTGCTCTGCCTCCGGCCTGCCTTTTCCCCACCCCAACTCTTCCTGTTCAGTTCTTCCTCACAACCGCCGCTGCCTCTTCGTCTCCATCACCAGCGCTACGGCGCTACCTCCTCACCTCCCCACCGACGCCCCATCACCATCTCTGTCGCTTCCGTACACCTAACCTGCGTTGGCTCGCCGCATCCGCCTGTAGTCCCTATGCTGCCCTGAAAAGAGAATAACGAACAGCATACGCATAGCTACAGTGGGGAGGGGATAGATCGGGATGGAGGGCCATGCCTGTTGGATCCATCACCGGAGCTGTCTCCAATCTCCATCGAGGGATACCCATTTCGAGAGCCCAAGGTGATTGATCTGCTTCTCTATCTTCCTTTCCTGTGTATTGATTTCGATTTTAGCCTTTCAAATGTACTATTGATTTGTACTATTTATATACATATTATAAATTCTAATATTGATTAACTTGATTCGCCTTTATATTTCATAAGCCAAAAAAATCATAACTATTTAGTCTCCATTATTGGGTTGGAGACTTGGAGTTACACTAGAATGCAATTGACAAAATCAAACCAATCCAGCATGAGACAGATGAGTATAACTGTAATTATCAATAAATAAAGTATTTTGTATAAAGTATATCTGTTTACTTATAACTAAAATAAATTATTCTCTAAGGCAGCTCACGACCGATGATGTTTTGAAGTGTATCTAAATCTTTGTACTGTTTTTTACGTCATGAATACACTAAAGAATAATTCCAGCCATAACTTCAAGGGACCATAGTTTCAGAAATTGTAACAATCTTACTTTGCATGAGTGATCCTATAGGAGCAAAGCTGACTGGCAGATACATGTAAAGCTCAAGTCACCAATGCTAATTCAAGATAAAGGGATAACTTTTTTTTTTGTCCCTCCTTCCCAAACACCACCTTAGTGTATTACTTTTTTTTGAAAGGAACTAAAGTTTAGTCCCTCCTTCCCAAACACCACCTAATAATCCGCTCATGGAGGGTAGATTACTATCTTCAATTATGATTAAATTGAAATTGTTTGTTCATGGAGAAGATTTCAGACGCCTACTACATATATGCTTTTCTAGGGGCTATAATGATAGACAAATTTTAGGTTGATCAAACGACAAATAAAGCTGAATTGTTATTAATTTAACCATTTTGCGTCACCGAGTATCAGTTACTCAACATCAGTTGCTTCCGGAGTCCAATTTCACTTTCCCTACGGGAGTAGTGTACTTCTATTTTATGGTTTGTATTGGGGAACACTTATTGGCATGTTAATTGCTTTCGGTGATTGATTAACTCTTATACTGGGACTTGCATTTTAACTTACGGTGCCCATTAGATTTTAGACAAACCAGCAACTTGATTTAACCTAATTTTTTTTAGTTCTTTGCATTGCTCTTGCCATTCATTTGGGTAAAATGACTTGCATGGCCTATTTACAGAGATTATGAGCCAAAATGTGGTTTGTTTTGTTGCAAATGAAAATAGTTCACAGGCTGCATTGTTGCACCATAACCTGACTAATCTGCGAAGGCTTTGATATGAGCCTAATTGCTTGGTAACGGATTTTCTACTCTAAGCTGAATTGCATTGGATTACTGTAACCTATACGTATTGAAACAGGAAGTTAGGTACCAGCTACTGCTATTTTCCATTAGTACATACGATTTACACTTGCCCGGTTAAAATCAAATGTTACAGCAATAAACAAACAAACTGCAGAGTTAGCACGGATTTGTTAAGGCTAGAAATTTCTTGCATCAATAGGCACTCCACAGCTGCAGTATGATAAAATCACTTGTTTGCAAGTGCGCCAACATGTGATTTTATCATTTCGGCTGAACCGAGACCTGGTGCATCCTCTGGTGGTGAACCTGTCTTTAGTGGCATGGATCCAAAGCATTTTAAGGGGGATCACACCTATGTCCATGTTTCTCGCAAAGGCTACTGGCAGTTTAACACGCGGGATCTCCTTACTGATGGCCACTCAACTGGCTTCTATGCAAAAGGCTGTGCTGCTATTGTGGACTCTAGAACTTCCTTGCTTACTGATCCTACAGTATGTATTATTAATATCTTCAAATTAAAGATCCAGATCACCTCCATATTTGTTTGTTCATGGTTACTTAGCTCAAAGTTTCCATTCTGTGATAATGTAGTTGATTGGTGAAGGTAGATAATTTCGAATAAGTCAATAACTATACAAATATTTAGATAGTCGCTAGTACCGAGTGCAGCTGCAATTTTCAGCAATATGGTGTATGACTTCTTTGCACCTTCTGTTATTTCCAGGCTATAGTTGCTCAGGTGAACCATGCTACTGAGGCTGAAGGAATTATCAGCACGGAATGATTGGTGGTGAGAACGTGTGCTTGGGTAGGCGGCAGATGAGGGAGAAATAAGTGATTGACTACTTGATCAGAAATACTGATTAATGCAAACCATGGTTAAGTAAGATTTCAAGAGGCTTGACTACTTGATCATGCATAAAAATGAGCTTTAAGTGCAATAAGTCAATGACAATTTTTTTAGAAATGCAAATGACACGTCGACAATAAGAATGTGTTTTCATTTTAGCAATAGTTATAGTACATTAATTGCCAGCTTTGCAATTATGCACCTCTCATAAATCTTGCCTAGAAGTTTAATACCATTATGACAATCTCCATGAACCTGTAGGTTCTTTACTGTCTTAGCGGTGCCGGGTGCAGTGCTTATCGATTCAAATGAAATATGATGGTCTTGAGATGCCTTTGCGCAGACAGAACTACTTTAGCTTCTGGCCTCTCTAGAAAAGGATGAAATGCATCCAACATTTGGCAGAGTTCAAAATGTTGCGTGATCACCTTATACCAATCTTTGTAATACTGTACTGATTAATATTTGTACAATTTGAGAAGTAGATCTTCCTATCAATTTTTACATGGGTCTAATCTTTGTAATAGTGATGTCGGTTGGTATGATGTTGTTTATATGCTATCAATTCTACAGTATATTTGCAATTTGTTATGTCATAGGAATGAATTCGTAGCTCTGTTGATTGGGATAATGTGGCATATAGGCTGTCAACTTTCCTAGGTTTTGTGTAGGTGCTGTGCGTGATGGTGGGTTTTTTACTTTCCTAGCTACTGCCTTTCAAGGTGATAGCCTCGTACTTTTTTCCTACTCTATTTAATGAATCGTCGCACCGTCTAGTGTTGGTCGTTCAAAAAAATTTGTTATGACATAGGAAGAAATTTGTAGTTCCTTGCAAAATAAAAATCTGGAACACTTATAAAATGTTCATTTTTTTTCTATAGAAATTCAACTAATTCCTATACTTTTTTTTTGCACAAGTTTCAAAGAGATTCAACTAATTTATCATAGCACAAACAACATAGACAGACTATAAAGCAAAGCACGCCAACCGGCGTGCTCATTTTCTAGTACATGCTGAAAATTCTCAGCTCTTATGTGTGTGGGCTATTATTCCTTGAGATAAGTTCACCTAACGTCCCTGAACTTTACGTCGAGTCTATCTGTGGTCCCCAATCCCCAATAGAAGATATCTCTACCGCTAAACTATTATAAACCGTGAAAAAAAAAGTTTCAAGACAGTATGAACTAAATTTAACCTCGGTTACGCTGACGTGGCATACGGCGGGCCTCACATGTCAATGCGCCGTGGAGGCGTTATTACATGGAGTCATCATCGATCTATCTGGTTGGGCTGGCGGCAGAGATGGACTTCCTCGACGGCGTGCGGTTCCACAACATCATGACGCCGTGGTTCCCGTTGGAGCGTCGGGCTCGCCATCGATGCGGCCACCGGCGAGCACAAGGTCGTCAGGCGAAGGTTGCGCAGCCCACTCGTCGGGAGGTGGTGGAAGAGCAAGAGCTAGCCCATCTTGTCTTTCAATGTCAGCACCAAGTAAACTTGTGTCGATTTGCTTTAATTTGTGTTTCGTTTTTCCCTCCCTAGCTAGTTTTCTGTTGATTCTGTTAGCACATGGCCTCGCTATTCTTGTCGTGTGCGAATGGTTCACCGAGAGCGCGATCCTGGCGCTTGGGATGGGAAGAAGAACACCTTACATTACATTGCTTTGATTTCTACATCTGTTTAAGTTTAACTTACGAGAGAGGAGCTCGAGCAGGTCCAGCCGTGGCTCCGGCGGCCAGATGCTGTGGATGGCTGTGAATCCGAGACCGAGGCTGCGAATGGGCTGAAGACATCCATTGTAGCAAAACAACTGCAATCGTCCGATGCTGAAGGGACGGTGATCCGAGACGGGACGTCCCTCTCTGACGTAGCAGGAGATCTCGTTCCGTGTTACAAGTGTATCGAACTCTGTAACATTTAGGTGTCTTTTAGAATATCTAAATCTTTCTAACAGATGATAAATTGAAAAGCACCAATATATACGCACTCAAGGAAGAAACAAGGATCTTACAATTTCCGATATGGATGATATGTATTGTTTTGATGCTTAGATGGATTCCGATATGCAGTTCAGTTCTCATTTGGTTTATACCTTCCTGGGACATATCTAATATGTTTGATGGTTTGCTTTTGAGGGTTGATAAGAAGAAGAGTAAACTCATACTTGTAGGAGCATTTGCCATATGTTGGGCTCTGTGGTTGAGTAGGAATGATATGGTATTTGACAAATCACCATCTATCTCATATTTGCAGGTAATTTTCAGGGCAACATATTGGTTCCGGTGTTGGGCACAGCTGCAAAAGTGTAAAGATGATGGAGAGCTTATGAAGGTTGCATGTCGTAGGCTTGAAACGACAGTTATGCAACTTTTTGCAAACTATGGATGGAGATTCACAAATAGACTTGAATAAATGTGTACTCCTTATCTTAGTTTGGTCTTTTATTTCGGTTTGGTCTTTTATTTTGTTGGGTGTGTTTAATTTCATTTTGAACTACACTCTTCGTTTGAGTGATACTTTGTAATAATTGGCTGTAGTTTTGATGAGCAAAGGTCGGAATGTTTCATTCCATTAACTAAAAAAGATGGATTGATAGGTTGGAGTATCAAATAACATTGATAATATAAGAATGAATATGCATGTTCCATCTAGTGATTTTCCTCTCTTCTCCTGTTTTTTTTAACGACTCGCACTAGACAGTGCGGAGTTCATATTAATAGAGCAGAAAAATATTACAAGATTACAACCTTGGGAGGTCGTAACAAGGAAAATGAACAATAAGAAACCACCACCCACGCACCGACAACACCAAAACACACAAAGTCCAGGAGAAGGCTAGCACCGGACCGATCGCCACTATGCGTGACTAGCCGCCGCTAAGCCAACAACGACGATACAGCCAGGAACGCCCAAAACCCTATCCCAACAGCCAACACTAAACAACACTCTATCCACATTTTTGGGATTTAAGGAGAGAGGGTGAGAGAGAAGAATGGAACCACTCTCCTTCTTAGGCCCTCCGACGTGGCCAACTTGCATAAGCTAGAGCGCCAACACAAGAGGACCGAAGTCTAGAGTGAGCTTGCGCCGATTGTCTGGGAGGTTTTGGCAAGTGGGTTTGCCAAGATGATGTCTCTAGGGAGATGAGCGACGAAAGCACTGTCGTCGCCGTCCGTCGAGGTCTCAAGGAGACCGAGACAAGGTTTTCATCCGACAGCCCCACTAGAGGAGATGGGATGGTACGACAACACCCTCAAGAGGAGAAATGGGACGGCACGACAACACCCTCAAGAGGAGAAATGATGCTCGAAAGCGCCATCGTTGTCGGTCCGGTCAAGACCGGGCTAGGTTTTCACCCGCCGTCTGCCGCATGCCTATCTGCAGCACCACCCTGCCGGCCAGCCTCCGCGTGCCACCCTTGTCACGCCGCGTCGGCCTCTGCGTGGACACCACTAAGGGCTACGCTCTGGTGCACTTTACTTGCAGTATTCTACTCCAAGTAGAATTAATCTCAACTGTTTATTTTAAAGGGTAGATTAGTAATCTCTTAATACAGTTTAGGGTAATTTTGGCATGGGTTGAATTCTTTTTCTCATCTGGTACGGCGGAGTCGTCGCTTTTCTTTACGTCCGACGCAATCCGAGCTCCTGACGCAGGCACCGCATTAGTCATCGCAGGCGGCGGCACGGCAGTATCAGGTCCAAACCAGTATGTTGATTCTTTGAGATCCAACCTAAACAACCGTTGATAACTCGAATCTTACTCACAGCACAGCGCCTCGACATGCAGGCCCGCATCAGGTTACCGCTCCTCCTCATCCGGCAGGCGGCGGCCGGGCGAAAATCGCCGGCGGTGCGGTCGGCGGCTCGGCAAATTACAGTTAGATAATGACAAATTACGATAATACTCCTACACGAATTATTATCTCTGGACAAATATGCCCCTCCACATTTTTACTACTATAAAATCTGGTGGGAGTAGAACTAGATCTCAACCCTACGATTAAATACGATCAACGGCTCGGATTAATTTCTACTACAAGTAGAAAGCACAGGAGCGAGCCTCCACCACTAAAGGTAAAGGTATGTCAAGTGCATGCTTGTCTGACGTTTTAGCCATCATGTAAGCAGGCCGCTCAAGTGTGATTCTCGGTTATGTATGTATGTTATGTATGTATCAAGTTTACTTAGGTAGGTGCACATGTATATATATGTTGCCCAGAAGTGTAGGCCGGCCTAATTCTAGAAAGCACTGTAACTTGTTTTTCTTGTTTATGACACATTTATTGTTAGGCCTATACACACATGATTAACCTAGATTTTTAGACCTAGAAGAAAAAGACATTGTCAATGTAATCATAATAAATACAATGACAATAAAGTCAATTATACTGGTTCACTCATTGGAACTCCAAATTAGACATATATATACACGTTCGATTGTCCAAACGTGAAACGTGGGCCAAACAGTTTAATTTATGAAATGATCGTACTGCACTAGTGCAAATCGATCGTGCCATATACATATGCACGTACGTGCGTGTCCATGCAGTGCAAAGTCGTCGATCATTATTGATAGATCTATGAGGAACCAATTAATTCAATTATATATAAGCCTAGCTATGTGTGACACCGTGACTTTTTAACCAACGTTTGACCATTCGTTTTATTCAAAAAGTTTTTGCAAATATAAAAATATCTATGTCATACCTAAAGAACATTTGATGATAAAAGTCACAATAAAATAAATTCTAATGACATAAATTTTTTGAATAAGACGAATATTCAAACATTAAATAAAAAGTCAACAGCGTCATATATTAAAATATGTGAGGTAGTATATAATATACATACGACATCCATATATATATATATATATACATACTTGTAGCTAGCTGTCGATCGATCAACCAATTGTGTGCGTGTCCATCCATCTAACACGTCTTCACATGAGTTCTATTTATCAGTACATCGCCGACATTTTTAAGTTAATTTATTATGGCCACCGTGTCTGATCGAGAAATAATGTCAACCTTATCTTTTGGCATATACTTATGTTAAATTTATATTTTTAATCTTAAATTTAGAGTTTATTTTAGGGTTTTTTTTATCAAATTTATTTTTTTAAGATCGCTAGGAACGTATATATAAGAATTTTAATTGTAAATTATTTTTCATTTGTAAATATGTTGTTTGGCTTACTCCCTAAATAAGCCAAATGATAGGGCAGTGTATCGTGTGGGATCGTGATTAAAGATGTATGCTTATGTGCACATACATATATTTAAAGGTGTAAGTGACAAACCCAGAAAACTCACTTATACCGTGACGTATCTAGTAATTTTATATGGGTGGTCTAACTTATATTATATAATTATTTTAAAAACCCTAAATATAACTAAGTTAGAAATATAAATTGATCAAATATCATAACAATATATTAATAAAAGAGCTTTTTTTCAAGCTTTTTTTTTTCAAAAAATTCTTTTCATATATGCATATATATGTACTGGGTTAGGATTTGTTTGGATGCCCCTAGATTTGCCCATGATAGGATAAAATAAGCCATTAACTCATTTATCTT